TTTCCAGTGAGAATACCTTACTTTTGGTACCAATATATTAAATTTGCATTTAAGAAAAGTTTCCTCTTTGCTATGTTGCCACACGGGGGCATCAGTGTTTCACAAACACATAGTAATTATTTTGATAACTGCATGCAAATGATGGTACACATTGCTTATTGGAATCAATATAATTCTGGATAATGTTGAGTACAAAACCTCAAATGATCTTATTAATTTTCTTCTCCATTTTAAACAGGTTAATACAGAGATCCTCTGTCCCTCCCCTAAAAAAAAGAGCATACATGTGTGGACATGGTGGATCACATAATGATAAATAGTATAGCAATAGTATTAAATTTCATTGCAAAAACTCAAAAGCCTTTTGAGCTATTGCCTCATGGGAACAAAAGTTTTACTCATGCATACACACACAGGGTGTATAAATTTATGACTTTGACCTTGGACCTCAAAATCTGTAGGTTTGGGGTGTTCCTTATGCCAGAAGGAGTTGTGGTATAAAATTTCACTCCAAAAGCTCAAAAATTTCTCAAGATATTGTGCGGAAACAAAAATGTGAAAACAGACAGAATTTTTGACCTTGAACTTTGACCTTAAACTCAACATGGTTAAGATTTTTGAGTAGGACCTTTCCCAAGTAAGTATACTCTACTCAATAAAAACTCTACTCAATAAATCAAACTTCCATATTGGATATCAATCATGATAAAATTTAGACAAGCTTTGCCTTGCTTACAAATAACATTCTTTTAGGTGAGCTTTTCAATCTTTGAGTATCCCTATGTTTTAGGGTCTGTTTTAAAGATATCTTAGTATCAGGGACATATATACAAACAAACAACGAACAAATTACAACTAACAAAACCATGATTACTCATATCTATATGGAAGCATATATATTACTAATTTTGAAGACAGTCTTTGTATCAGTTCTTTGTTTTGAACTGCAAAATTTAGATATATTCTCATCAAAAGGTTGTACAGTAGTGAGAATGTTTATGCACATTTTCTTTTTAAGCTCTGCTAAAGTTTGAATCTGCACAGTTCTAGAGAGCATATCAAAAGCTTAAATATTTTCTCCATCATGCACATGGATGGCTAAACAATCATGAATGCCACCAAATGGCATGTAATTTTCATAATAGGGATCAATTGCCAAACCCTTATATGCAGTAGTATTTACTTAATCAATACAAGAAGAACTTTACATTAATGTTTTATTTGTCTTATCACAGTGTACTTGACATATCAAGATCCAAATTTTAACTTAATTCTGTATATAGATATTATACTATGAATCATTGATTGATAAACTACGTACAAATAGTAAAGTCATGCATCAGAAATTCTAATAGATATATATCATATTCTATACACACAACTTTTATAAACCTGTTATCAAAGTTTAAATTTACCATTTCATATTCCATACTAAAAATCCACATACATCATGTATACTAGGTAAATTATTTAATCACATCAAAATTAATTCTCAGTAACAAGTAGTAACAATTATACATGTATCATCCTTCTTATGGAAAGTCTTCATTAGCATTCAATGGAAAACTCACATGACTTAAAGACATCCATGTAATCCTGACATGAAAGCTAAAGACACTGAATAAATAAGTAATGATATGTACACTTAACACTTTAAAACAGACAATTCACTTAAATTCATATTTACAAAAATATGATCTACTATATTTGGTAAATAGATGTACAATTCTAATACCAGCACTCATATTGTATAAATTTACAAAGATCACTATAACTTTAATAGATGATGCAATGACTAGTAAATAGTATATCCTAGCTTGGTAGAAGGCACATATCTTTTCACATTAATGTCTGGAGTTGAGAGACGGCTTGGTGCATCATCGTCCGTTCCCCCTCCCTCCCCATCAGAGGGGAAGTAGGAACTGACAGACTCGGTATTTAAAGATTCCTGCTTAAAGTCCATTCTTCTCTCCCTGGCCAATTTTCTAGGCCTGGGGGTGGGGAATTTAGAACTGTTTGTGAGTGCCGGGGAGGGAGACCGAGGGGTCCTGCTTGGAGACATGGGGGCAGATCTCTCTAATTTGGCATGGGATCGCCGTAAAGCAGGAATAGGAGACTGCAGAGAGGATTTGGGATTTAACACGGCAAACTTTGAATTTGCTGGTTCATTGTTGTATGGACCAGGAGACTTGGATTGATCTGTACGATTGCTTGACATAACATCAGACACTTCCTCCCCTGAACTCATGAGACGCTGAAGCTCCGGTTCTTCAGTTGATTGGAACTGTGTTCCCGTATCAAAATCATCTGTTGATCTTATACCACTGCCAGCTTTCCTTAGGTTTTCAAATGGTTTCTCATTTCTGGTCGATTCCAAAGGTGAATCCATATCTTCTTTATCATTCAAAGAATCATTCACATTTCCATCAATTGATTCTGGTAGGGATGCGTTATGGTCTGCAAATCCAGGGAACAGACTTTGTGGACGTTTCTCCTCTTTAGTATTGTCACTTTCATTGAATGTGTAGTCACTTTCATATTGAAACTGCACACTTGGGATTCGTACCTCAATACTCTTCTGACTGGGCATGCTCGGTGCATCACCTTCTGATTCAGATCCTTCATCGTCGGCATGTGGTGATGACTCACTGCGTTTAACTCTGTGTTCCACTGATTTTGGTCTCTCACTTTTTCGTATATCCTTCTGCCTTGGAGATTTACTTCTCTTTCTCCCTGGGCTGTATTTTCGTGATTTTCTGGACGACTTCAGTCTCCCAGTTGACCTCATTGTGGAAAGGTCACTCTGAGCTAGCGTGTCATCAGCGTTAAGATTTTTCTGAGCCAGGCGTCTAACTTCCGTAAGCGTGTCAGACATATCAGCAGTGGGAAAATCTTCTTCAATGTTTGGTTTCACAACTGGCTTTTCTTTAGCAGCCTTTGTTTCTGCCTCTTCTTTTTCGATATTTTTTAACCATGATGGATTTGTCTTTGCAAGCCTCAAGCGTTGTGTATTGGTAAGCCCATAAGACAATTTAGATTTTTTCACACTTGTTTCTGGGGCTTTTCTTATCCAGCCACGTGACTTCTTCCCTGCAACATCTGTACTTTCTTTCTTTGACAAATTGCTCTTCTGCTTTTCAAGTTTGCTTTCATTTGGCTGAATGTTTTCCTTACTAGCTTGTGATCTAAATACTTTTGTCATTGCTTGTGGTTTTGGTGCTGGGATTTTCTCCTTTTCTGGCTGCACTTGCTTTTCTTTGATGTCTACTCTTCTTACTGGGTCCTGTCTGTGCTGTGTTGCTGCCTGAACTTGTTGCACTGTTTGCTGCACAAATTGAGGATCCTGCAAGCTAGAGAGTTCTTTCAGCAAGGCTGTTAGTATAGGGAAAAGTGGTCCATTTGGCATTTTGTTTGCATAATCCTTCAAAATATTCATTCCAATCTGGTTGGTTGCTGGATTTTGCATCCTTACAGGTTCAAGTCTTACATTTTCAATTTGACTAATTTTACTAGGTGGCTTTATTGGTTGTTTTGCAACTTTATCTTTCTCTTCATCTGATAAGTCCTCAATTCTGAGCTCATCTGAGTAAACACTGGATTCATCGTCATCATACAGATACTGTCTGTGGATTTTCACTTTTGGTTCATTTTCACTGTTGTAAAATAGGGCTGGTGGTTGAACAATATTGGTAAATATGACTTCATCCTCCTCACTCTCAATCTCTATATCTAAGGCATTTGTTTCTTTCTTTTTTCTTTTGTTATATATCCTGCTTTTTTGAGTTTGGGTTGACATGGTTTGAACTTCCTTTTTGTCCTCAGTTTTTGATGCCACTTTTGGCTCTGAAATAGCGACATGTATTTCTTTGTCCATCATATCCAAGGTTTGTAACATCACGTCCTGTTTTTCTGGTTCTGTCATGGACCCCATTTCATGTGTTTCAATAAGACTTTCATTTTGCTCAGTAACAGTTGCTTCCTTTGGCTTTGGCGTTTTTATTACAGCTTCAGCGGTAGGTTTCACAGTAATGATGTTGCTTTCTCTCTTGGCAATAGCAGAATCAGGAATGTGTGGTATTAGTCCAGGTCCAAGACTAAGGAGTCTGAAACCAAGCACCATGTAACCAATGTCTTTTCCCATTAAACTGTAGATTTTGAATAATCCTTTGTCACCATGCACAGATGGAACCGTGTTTCCATTGTGTTTTATATCATCAACAATTTGATTCATCACATCGTCCAGTGGTAATGTACTGTTTCCAATCAATTTAGGTACTTTTTCGAAGCTATCAACAACCATGACATACAATGGTGTATTACTTAAATGGATTTTTAATGTGTCTGGTGAAACTTTAAATAAACACGACTTTCCCTTCCTTATCATGAAATTGCCATGTTTATCCTTTAGTTCTGCAAATTGATCAGGAACTTTGAAGTAAGGATCCCTTGTTATTTTGTATTTGATGTTTCTTGCTAAGTCCTCTTCCACATGTTCAATGAGAATGTTAGGAAAATCCAGAAGTCTGAATACCACAGATGGGAAACGACATGTTGTGTGGGGAACATATAACTTTTCCACCACAACCTCCAGGGAAAAAAGAGATTCTTTATCCATTTTAAGTGGCACTACCACTGCAATGCTCACAAAAAGTTCTGTTTGGCTTAATTAACGGTACATCAAAATTCAGCTTAACAAGATCGTACCTGCAGCCATCTTTGGATACGAATCAACATTGATCTTAGTGCCTAATAAGTTTGAATTTTCATTTTAATAAACATATCATGCATAAAATTATTCGTGCTAAAATGGAAAAATGTTTATAAAACTGGTATTTTTGTTTCATTCCGTTTGAGAGTAATTAAATGAAAGAAATGTGTTTGTTTTCAATTAAAACTTTTTGGTCATTTAGACTTTGAGTATTTTTTTGTCATGTCATTGAAATGTTAATTTTCATGTAAAAGCTAACAAAACAGCCCCCAAAGCTTTAAAACGACACAGATTGACAAATGGCGGTCTGTATAAACTTTGAAAAACAGAAAAGAGGACATATTCATTGATTTTGATACATCTGGTGAACAGTTATGATAAATATATTGGTATTTCCAGAAGTTCAATGTGAGATAAAGGTTGAGGTAAAACGTATGTTTTAAAAAAGGAGATTTAGCACTAATTTATCGTGATATTTATTTTTTCTATGCATTTCACAGTGTGTCATATTGCAGCTCAGGTGCCTGGGTCTCACTGAATAGATATAGTTATCAAATATTTATCTTTTTTAATGGAAATAGTTCATTATATATTGTTTTTGTATCCACACTACGTATTCATAGATCTCATACGCCACGTGACGAATTGTTAAGACATTAATTAGGATGGATAATTGTTCAGATCATTTTCTCTTCACATATAATCATTTAAATATCATAATTGTGTCAAGGGGTTAGGCTCCAATTCTGTATTTGGCCTGTGTGGTTATGACCCGAGTGGTTTCGACCTGCTTATATCGAGCGCAGTGAGCGTCGCGAAGCAACACTCGTAACTGCGAGCTCTTACGACAACGCCTGGGTGAAGAGAAAATTTGGATTACTGCACATTCATTCCATAGAATTTTTTTCCGCAGTACTTTTGACCCACAATGCATCGCTTCGTACACAAATGCTAAATGCAAAATTCTCATGAGAATTAGGACAAAAGTTAAACGAATAATAAACTTGCCTTGATTTAATGAATTTATCTGTTTATTGCAGAAAAATAGTCATAAACTGATTGAAATCAGCCCTGTTTAGGCTTCAGTTTGGTAAAGCAACATGCAAACGACGTCATGTGACGTTAGAGTCTTATACGCACCAAATGTCATGTGCGGTTTGACGAGTCAGATAAAATGAAAACTAGATAAGTATATGCACTCGCCCCAGCAGTCGCACCATCAACTTATTATGTACATAATACATACAGGTAAATAGAGGGGTACCAGAGTTCCCGAAATGCACCGGTCCACCGGGGATCCCCGGTAAACTTTGAATGGGACCGGTAAAATCTTAATTTTATCGGTCAAAATGTCCGATGGTTTTTTTTTTACAGACTGTATAACGATTACACATAATCTTAACAAAATCATTTAATTCAATTGTCCTGACAATAAACAAATGCAAAACTAAAACGTCAGGGGCGTGCCAGATCTTGTTTAAATGAAATGTAGACGGTGATTGTCTACTATAAAAAGCTACATATGAAAATAATAATTTCCATAAGTTTGCGAGGAAAAACAGCTAGTTTTAAAAACACTGTCAAACAAATATTTTCCCTCTAATAAATATATGCACTCTGTAGTTCTGACAGTAAAAAAAAATGTGACAATCTACTTTCGTTTTGCAGAACGAACTTGCAGGGTTGCAAGAGTTGCCTGCTACACACGTATTTCTGCTTGATTACAGACAATTTGTTACCATTTATTATTTTCTCTATAATTTAATCTATTAGCATGATAATATTATACCAACTTCTGGATTTTTTTTAATGTATTTGATAGCATTTAAAATACATGCGCGTTTTTCCCCTTTTCTAAAAATACCGGACTGACTTGAATGTAGTAAAACGACAACAAATTCACTTAAAATCATCATTTTCATGATAAATTTGCATATCTTTATATCATTAGTACATATTTTTAACTGTGTGGAGGTTGTATAATAAATTTTAACTAGTCAGAAATATCGGACGTTTTCCAGGCTTTTTAAAACGAGTTTGATATTTTACGTAATATTTTTCCTGGCACATAAAATACCAAAATCCAAAAGTAAAAAGAAAAAAGCCTGGAAAACAGCAGATATTTCGGACTAATACCAAACAATCAACCAAGAGTTGTCATGTTGCAGATTTTATTTAAAAAAAAATAAAAAATCTGTCAGAATTAGGACATAAGAATTTAATACGATGAATTAAGCGTTGGTCATCACACGCCGCCGGCGACGTCAAATCCCGCATACACAGGCCTTATACAAAATATTTTAATAAATCTAAAAAAAAAAATCTGCATTTGCCATCTTTTTTTTTACACATATTATTTATTATATCAACACAATTTCCAATCCTATAATATGTTAAATTTACATACAAAAAATTAATATCCGGTAAATTTTACAACTGTCCGGTGAATTTTGAATATTTACAGGACAATTGTCCGACATATTTTTGACTAGTTTCGGGAACTCTGGGGTACACACTATATGGTAAACACATGGATATTCGGTAGCTGTATATTGATTACCTATGGCATCAGGGAGGGATACATGTCAATAATTGGTTGTTACCATATGAGTAACCTCAACATTGAAATCAATAGTAAAGTTTGTACCTTGATGTTTTTAAGACAAAAATGTAATTAATTTCCTTTGAAATATAGTAATGATTTATATATGAATAGTTTTCCTTAAAAACTAATCAACTCTTTGTGGGATAATTAACGAATTTATTGTCTAAATGCATATTTAAATGTCTTAAAAACAGTGTACGATTTTCCGACCAAGTTAAATAAACATCATAATTAGTAGTATTTTTAATTATTAACAGATATGGTTGGCTAAAAAAATCTGAAGAATTTGAACTAGACTAAAAAATGTTAAACTATTGAAATTATTAATTGATATTGCTTCAGAACGAAACCACGCGGGTGGAACAAGGAATCGGGTTGAAACCATGCTGGGCGAATCGGAAGGTAACCAGCTGCATTCATCATAAGAGCTCACAGTGCAAAAGGCATTACCCACTGTATTCACCATTACTTGAATAATTGAATGATTGAGTGATTATTTTACATCATTGTCTTGTCTTTTCTACAGAAAAAGGAAATGGAAGTCATTCTGAAATTAAAATGAGGGAGAAATGAGCAAAGGAAAGCAAGCCACACTATTTCAAAGTTGGGGATCAAATGCAAAAAAGAAAACTTCTCATGCATCATCTTCAAATCAAGTGCCTGAGGTCATTGATTTGAGTGACCTTGATGATGAGGATGATGATCTACTTGCTTGTGTAAATATTTTATCCCAGTTGGAATTTTCTATATTAAAACTCTTTCAATAGAAAATATATAAGACTTTTGAAATGTATTATCATGATTATGGATCATATCAATATATTTTTTCAGCATTAAATTCTTTTTTAGTTAATCTTTTAGAAAGGACTAACATAGTGCTCCGTTGTTTTTTTTTTTTTTTATCTTGTTTATGTTCAGACCTCCAACAGGATAATAGGAAAGATTTGAAAAATTTTTATTATGCCTAATGGCTAAAAATTTGTATTCGATATACATGTACTGAAGTTGCGTTTTCATTTTTTTAAGGCATTAAATGAATCTATTGGAGAAAGCAGTAACAAACCGCATGAAAATGAGGCACATGAACAAGATGAAGACCCCTGTAACATCTCCATGGGAGTGGACATGTTTCCCTGTACCCAGGCTCAGTCACAGATGGGGCAGACAGGGTTTGATAAGGTGGCGGGAAAACTGTGGATCTATCCCACAAATTACCCAGTACGAGAGTACCAGTATAACATTGTGCAACAAGCACTCTTCAAGAACACCATGGTCACTCTACCCACAGGATTGGGAAAGACTTTCATTGCATCTGTTGTCATGTTCAACTTCTACAGGTTTGTTGTGAGACAAAATACTGTAGTAACTGTTCATAATATTATTTTATTGGTTGCTATGACAAAACTTAAATTCTTGTTGATTTCACTCATTGAAAACTTTTAATAGAAACTGCAACAACAAAAAGGAAAATAACATTTTGTCAAAGGAAAACAAAATATCATTATAGAAAATGAGAATTCTAATTTCTATTCATTGATATGAATGTGCGTGTCTAAATATGAAATGATTTGAAAAGGACTTTTTTAGATGGTATCCTCAGGGAAAGATTGTGTTTATGGCTCCAACCAAACCCCTGGTAGCACAACAAATTGAGGCTTGTTACAACATAATGGGAATTCCCCAAGAACACACAGCAGAAATGACTGGTATGGAAAAACAAAACAGCATTTATTCAACAATAATCATTTTTTCTCAGCATTCGCCTCCAAAACAGTAAAATTCTTATATAAATTTGTACCTGTGCATAAACTTAATGTCATTAAAATACATTGATATACGTTTAGATAATCTGATTACCCAAGCTATGAGGTCAAGCCAGATGATTTAAAAAAATTGTTGAAAAGTTCAATCAAAACAAAAAATTAAAATTCAGGTAAACTTCGTTATCTCGACATCGACGGGACGATCGGAAAATGTCGAGATATCCGAGGTGTCGAGATATCAGAGTTGAGACTCAACGTCCTTAATTTTACTGCATGGTAAACCATAGACTTAAAATGAACAGACATGTAACTACCTACATGTCTTCAATGGTTTGTGGCTCGTTTGTTTCATTAATTCCTCTATATTCATTAGAAAATCTAAGAAGTTATTCACAATATAATTCATGAAATGCTTTGAATTCCTTTTTATCGAAATCTTCTCATTTTACTTAATTAAAACAATTTTCCATCCAGCATTCGATCCGCGAGCAACTAGCTCTATCAGAACCGGATACGAAATGCGCTCTATAAACTCCAAACCGGAACGGTACAAAGTCGACTTCTGTGATACGGAAAAAAAATGCGTATATATTTGTTATTTTTTTCATTCCACTTCATTTTTATTTCATAACCATTCATCATTATTTTTCATTTCATTTTCAAACCAAAATTTAATATGGAATTGCACATTAAACAAACTTAATGATGTTACATGTGTATTTATTTTACGGCTGATGCAATAGTCGCGCATGTCGTAGATTTGATTGTTTCCTGTTGAATGCATTTTTACCACAATTTTTAATTTAAATTGAATTCAATGTGTATATTGTTCATTGTTATACAGTTACCCTTTTTTTACATGTTAAAATTTTGTTTGATTTTGACATAAATAAAGGGTGTTACATTTATGCAGAATCGAGAAGATTTATCAATGATATGATATTACCCAAGCTGAACATTTAACAATTTACGTCTCAGAGACGCCTAAGGGGCTTGGGATTCCTCTACAAACACATTTCTACAAAGCAGTATGTAGTCAAAATATGGGTGTGAAAGGTGTGAATTTCTGACGACGTCGAGATACCCGGAGTCGTCCGTGCGTGACGAGCGACCAGCTGACAAGCAATTAGGTTAAGTAGAGCAGAAAATTGCCCCGATGTCGACATATACCAGGTAAATTTTGCTCTTGGGACTCTAAATATACGTCGAGATAAGCGGGGTAGTCGACATTACCGAGGTCGACATATCAGAGTTTTTGCAAGTCATTTATATAGTAAATAATGCCGGGACCGCGGACGGACGTCGACATATCCCAGGTTGTCGACATATCCGATGTTGAGATACCGAAGTTTACCTGTAATACTTGCAAAGCAAAATCTTAAATTTTTTGAATAGAGACAAATACAGTGGACCTTCAGATATCCGGACGCCAGATATCCGGATGCTTCAGTATCCGGACGATTTTTCATCGGAACGAAATTTTTAAATGTTATTCTGTCTTGTTTAACTGGTGATTCAGATATCCGGATGCTTCACATATCCGGACAAATTAACTGGGAACCAAAGCGTCCGGATAAATGAGGGTCCACTGTAGTATGTTTCAAATTAAACTCATCATATTTAGGAACTATGCCCCCAAAGGAAAGACGTCAGGCCTGGGAGGAGAAGCGGGTCTTCTTCCTCACTCCACAGGTTCTGACAAACGACCTGTCTCGGGGGACCTGCCCCGCCCCTCAGGTGAAGTGTGTGGTTGTAGATGAAGCCCATAAGGCGCTGGGAAATCATGCTTACTGTCAGGTATAACATTTTTGGATAGGGAGTGCGAAAAGCCTGAAGTTCAATAAGAAGACAACATTTATTATACTCAGTAGTATGATTCAGAAAAAATATAAAGATACCTGTATTACACAATCATATGTAAATTTACATACCAAACCACTGTTTAAGGAAATGAATATCCATATCAATAGTTTTTTTCCACAATTTTTAGGTTGTTCGAGAATTGATTAACTATTCAAATGAATTTCGTGTATTGGCACTTAGTGCAACTCCAGGATCTGATATAAAGGTATGGACCTTTTCAACAAAAGCATACAAAACATTTTAGTTTGCAATTTAAATTTATGAAGAAATGAAAGTAAACATGGTAAAAATATCACTCTTTTTTGTTCACAACAAATACACTTTTTCAATGAGTGGTACTCAGTGTAGCTCTCTGGTCGTCCCTCCTGATTTTTTTTTTCAGACTAGTGAGCTACAGATCTCCACTTTCTGTTTCCATTGATTTTTAAATAATTCTTTGCTGATTTTTGAGTTGGCTCGCGTAGCGAGCTACTCCTTGTTGACGCAGCCGTTTCAGAGCTGTAAAATTTTTCACGCATTCATCAAGGTGATCCATACGCCAGATATGATAGTTCTAGCAAGAAATGCTTTTATTTGAGTATTTGTATAAACTTAGGAGGTAAAAACTGTAGAAAATTTCATACCGTTACATTATTTATGTCTTCATGCTTTTAAAGAATTTTTTGATTAAATATCTTTACAGGTATAAAAACTGCGTATGAATATATGTTCAAGCATGTTAGGCAGATCTAATCTTCCCATCTGAAGTTTATGTGTAATTGACCTAGAATACTCCCTAACACAAACACCTGCTCGCATTAGCTGCAGCTAGTATGCTTGAAAAATCTATTTTTAGAATCCAGATTTGCTGTGGGAATCTTTAAACTAATTACTCCACAACACTGACCACTGCAGCTAGTATGTTTAAATTCATTATAGAATCCAGGTTTGCAGTGCTGCTTTTCACAATAAAATATGTACGGAAGCCCATTAGTGCCAACCTGTATATATATAAATAGGAAAAGCAATACATATATACACTTTATATTTTTAACCGAACATGGAGACATATAATATTCAATCTCTTAAGATGCAAAATAAACTGAATATAAGGTATGGTGTCCAAATGTATGAAAAAAAGCTCAACTCGAGCGAGTCAACTCGCAGGCCCATCAGGCCTTTGATTTTATTTTAATAACATTGGCAAGTTACATGAATGCTATGTGATCATCACTTCATAACTACCCAGACTTTGTTTTGTAGGCAGTACAACAGGTGCTCTCTAACCTGCTGATCTCACACATTGAACTAAGAACAGAAGAGTCCCCTGACATCAAGCAGTACTCTTTTGAGCGACAGGTGGACAAAATCATTGTACCATTCAGCAAAGAACTGACGGAGGTCAAGAATAGATATATCAAGGTAATGATAAAACAGGGCTGTAAGAATTCAAAATTAACTCTGAAGATAAGTGGAAATGGACTACAATTGTCTATTCATGAATAGACAAATTTAGTCCATTTCTACTAATCTTCAGAGCACATTTTGAATTCTTGGCTTGATGATTAGGAATGATCTGAGAACTTAGATCTTGCAGGATGAAAAGTAAAGTGGTCTTAGCCCAATGTCTAAATAAAAGATAATTATTCTAATTTTTTAAGAATTATTCGTAAAGCAAAGAAATATTTGCATGTGAATATGTTCAGTGCTAATCCAATTTTTTAGGTCACCTGAGTAACTCAGGTGACCTATTGCTATCCGTTTTCGTCCGTCGTCGTGTGTCGTGCGTCGTGTGTTAACAATTGAACATTTTCAGCTTCTTCTCTGAAACCGCTGAACCAATTTCAACCAAATTTGGTATACAGCATCTATGGGTAAAGGGGAACAAAAATTGTGAATTTTATGGTCCCCGTCCCCCTGGGGCCTGAGGGGTGGGGCCAAAACCACTAAAATTATTGCAATCTTTAAAAATCTTCTTCTTTACTCCTGGACATCAAGCAGGCAAACTGATGGCATGAATGTAATGAGCATTGAGTCCTCTACCAAAATTGTGAAATTCATGGCCCCAGGGTCAGGGGTTCTAGTGCTAGGACGGGGCTATATAGATTATATAGTGAAAATGCATTAATTCTTTGAAAATCTTCTTCTCTGCTCCTGGGTATTAAATAAACTAAGCAAGCACATAGTTATGATAAGAAAGAGTGCTTCTCCCAAAATTGTGAATTTTATGACCCCAGGGTCAGGGGTTCTGGTATTAGGGTGGGGCTCTATTGGTTATATAGTGAAAATGCATTAATTCTTTGAAAATCTTCTTCTCTGCTCCTGGGTATTAAATAAACTATCCAAGCACATAGTTATAATGAGCAAGAGTGCCTCTTCCAAAATTGTGAATTTTATTACCCCAGGGTCAGGGGTTCTGGTATTAGGGCGGGGCTCTATTGGTTATATAGTGAAAATGCATTTATTCTTTGAAAATCTTCTTCTCTACTTCTGGGTATTAAATAAACTAACTAAGTACATAGTTATGTTGATCAAGAGTGCCTTTTTCAGAATTGTGAATTTTGTGGCCCCAGGGTCAGGGGTTCTGGTGTTAGGGTGGGGCCCTATTGATTATATAGTGAAAATGCATTAATTCTTTGAAAATCTTCTTCTCTGCTCCTGGGTATTAAATAAACTATCCAAGCACATAGTTATGATGAGCAAGAGTGCCTCTTCCAAAATTGTGAATTTTATGACCCCAGGGTCAGGGGTTCTGGTGTTAGGGCGGGGCTCTATTGGTTTTATAGTGAAAATGCATTTATTCTTTGAAAATCTTTCTTTTGCTCCTGGGTTTTATGCCAATGATCCAAGTATATATATTTATGATGAAGAAAGTTGCATCTAGCAAAATTGTTTTTTTTATGCCCCCCCCCCCTTTGGGTTGGGGGTGAGGGGGGGGTACAAAGTCTGAAAATAAATTAATGCTTTGAAATCTGCTCTTTGGTATTAATCAACCATTTTATGATAAAATTTGCACAATTTTGAAATATGTGGCCCCAGGTTCAGTGGTTCCTTTGGGATGAGGTGCACAACTGGGTATAAAGTGGAAGTGCATTTTCTCTTATGTTACTCTGATCTTCCTCTGGATATTACGTATTACAAATAGAGTAAGCATGCTAAGTCTTTAATTATGATAAGCAATGGTGCCTCTTTCAAAATTGTGAATTGTGAATTTCATGGCCTCTGGTTAAAGACACGAACAAAATTTAATTGTTTGAAAGTTGTTGCACAATACTCAGGTGACCTATAAGGCCCGTGGGCCTCTTGTTTTTTTAGATAATGGAAGTGATTGTAGGAAAATTAAAGAAGTTTGGTGTGATTTACAACAGAGAGGCCACCAGTCTGTCTAAGTTTATTCTGCTGAAGTCAAGAGAAGCCTTCCGTCAGAACCCACCCCACAGGCTGCCTGTAAGTTATCTGTGTGTCTGTCTGTCAACTCTGTTGAAATCTCAGCTGCTGTATTTCTAGGGTCAAATTGAAAATGCCTAACAGGTGTGAATATACTGTAATGGTTTGTTGGATTTCATGATGCTAACATTTTTTCAGTGCTTTGATTATTTGTACTAAGTAGAACACACATGCATATAACTCAATAACCATTGAAGACATATTTTTACAGAGATCACAATATGGTATTGTAGAAGGGGATTTTGCTTTGGCGATTTCTCTCTATCATGGGTATGAATTGGTTCAGCTACATGGATTACGATCCCTGTACAACTTCTTGGAGGGAACCATCAATGGAGAAAAGGGTCATGGTCGAACAAGAACAGAGCTGATGAAAATTCCCGATTTCAGTGACCTGATGAATATGCTGTGTGAAAAGTTTGGGAAAATGTAATTATTCTGATCAAGGCTTTAGATAAAATCTTCATTAAAAAGTACTATACATATACAATTGTTTTGATAATTTGAAGTCTCTTACAACATTTTTTTGTTCTGTATGTTTTTATACAGAATTTTTGAAAATCAAATGACATTTTCTTTTCTCTAGGAAAGGGCAAAGAGAAGGCAACTCTTTTGTTTCAGGACATCCCAAATTAGCCAAACTTGAAGAGGTTGTGTTAGACCATTTCAAGTCCATAGAAGGTCAGCTAAAATAAAATGATCTCCTTTGATTAAACTAAAGGAAAAAAATCTATATTATAAAAATGATTTCTAAAATATTATGTATCAGGGCTTGTTAGAAATGTGATGCAAATCTGTGTATTATAGACTAATATGATTTGTCTTTTTAAACCACAAGGAACTCAGTCATTTTCTACTTGTCTACTATAACACAGCATTAGTACATGTATCTCTATTGTTATACTAGGATTAATAAGTCTTTGTTATGTGTATTTACAAAACAGACAGCTGTAATGGACAGAGTGAAGTGACAACAAGAATCATGATATTCTCCCAGTACAGAGACAGTGTGGAGGAGATCACTAGCATGCTCCAGCAGCATGAACCCCAGGTCAAGGCCATGAGTTTTATAGGTCAATCGTCAGCTGGCAAGGCCACCAAAGGCTTCACTCAAAAGGAACAGCTCAAGGTAAGATAACTGTAGAATTTGTTGATATGGTTTCATTGAAGAGAAGAATAAGTTAACCAAAATAACTTTTAGTGAAATAGAATTATAAATCTGACAATTGTTGATGAGTATTGTAAATCAGTTTTTATTTATGAGAACTTAATTTTTGCATAATTACAAGAGACAGTGTGCTCGCAAAAATATCATTTTTGCCTATATAAGAATTCCTTAGGATTATGTAGAACAGTTTCCACAATTTGTGAAAATTTTGTCCCGCTAAGAAAGAGCAAATATCTATCTCATAGAAATTAGGTGTACGAAAATTTTGTGATCTACAGTATGTACATAATCATGAAATTTTTATGGCAAGAGTATAGCATTATAAAGTAATCACTGATGTAAATTTTAAAATCTGTTATAAATACAGGTGATGAAGAAATTCCGGGAGGGTCGCTACAACACCCTGGTGGCTACTTGTGTTGGAGAGGAGGGTCTGGATATTGGGGAGGTGGATCTAATTATTTGTTATGATGCCAGTAAAAGTCCAATCAGACTGGTCCAGAGAATGGGAAGAACGGGGAGGAAACGACAGGGACGAATCGTCATGCTGGTCGCTCAGGGCAAGGAGGAACAGGTAAAAAAAAGAGGCTTAAGGAAGGTCCATACTTTTACGGATCCGGTTTTAATTTTACACACCAATATAAAATTCTGATTATCACTTATCAATTGAAAAAATCTAATTGGATGATTGAAAATAATTTAGCAAGTATGTATTTGTTTCTTAAAATATCATTGAGCATACAAAGCATTTAATATCGTTATTTATGGAATTTTTTACACTTTGCACTCTGTCCAGGAACTATATGTCATAAAGTACATACACAGACACAAAATTTTGCATTGCCTTTATGGACCTAATGCTTTTTGATTTTTTTTAAAGAAACTAAGTTTAGGTCAATTTTGATTGATTTTAAAGCCTATATCATCTTTTAAAATTTTACCTTTTTAAAAATTTTGCAAAGAATGATTGAAAAATTGATATTTCAAATATGGGGGTATACGTGTTCAAAAGGCTGTTTTGTTAAATTTATCTGGTTGAACATAATAAACTATGTGTTTTTGTTAACCTTAGATGTAATTCTTAATAATTTTAAAGAAAAAAAGCACATAGACAATTTAGATTTTTAGAATTATTAAAAATAAAGGTATTCTGAGATTTTATTCTTATAGACGTGGACAGATTCAACATCAATTTGTTAATGTTTTCCAATAAAAATTTCAAATATTTTCTTGGCAAATGAATATTTTTGATTTTTACAAGTTTTAGCATAAATTTAATGTGATTTGGTGCATAGGTTAATGAAATATGATATCTCACTTCTTTAAGATCAATTTTGGCTGTCGAAGTTTTAGAGGTATGTACTCTGAGACATGTTGTATGAAAATCACCTGCAAAGATATGTCTTTTATGGGTGTTTTAGTGAGTTTATGACTTATTTAAGGTATTCAAATTAAAAAATTATAAGTTTGACAGAAAATTTTAAAAGTACGGACCTACCTTAATCTGAGATACATTGGTCTACAGCAGTGACATGCTTGAACAGTATGTGTAAGACTTGCAGTGAATAACATGGTTGCTTTTATTAAATGCCTGCTATAACGGAAATTTTTTGAAATTTTCTGGCCATGTCATTCCAAAAAGAATAATTCATAGTATAAACTGCTTTATCTGTTCACTATAAAGCAACTTAAATTCAGAAAGAACCACTTTCACCACATTGCAAAAAGTAGGATATGGTTTACTACTTGTAGAATACAGTATACAAGGATATTTTTCACTCTGTGTTATTTTCGACCTTTTGCACTTTCCAACAATTTGTCCCCCTTTAAATTCGCCCAGTCATAGTTCTGAAATAATGCTGTGTTCTTGGATATTGACTTATTTTAATTTGCACAACCATGAAGAGGGCGAAAGGGGCAAAAATAAAACGGGGGGGGGGGGATTTATCTGTATACAGTAACAGCTGTAAATGAATGACTGAAATAACATAGATCAGAACAAAATCTTGTAAAATAACAGCTGAGTCTAGAAAATGGGTCTTTCCAACTGGATGATGTAAATTAATTTTAGTCCCCAAACACTTGTTATGTTATTCATGAAAAGTATTTCAATGAGAAAGATTATAATTTTCAGGACCCATTTTATTATTCTTACAGATATACAATCAAGGAGTCTACTCCAAGAAGAGCATTCATAAGGCTATCCTGAACAGTGCCAAGACTCTCCAGTTTTACCAGAATAATCCACGGATGATTCCAGAGGGACTGGATCCAAAGAGTCATAAAATGTTTATTACAGTGAAGCAAGCTTACAAGCCAAGCAAGGAGATCATACTGGACTCCCAGCCACCCTCAAAACCAGCTAAAGCTAAAAGTATATTTGTGTTTTTAAGTTTTTTTGCCCATTTAGACAAGATAGATTAGATATATTAAAAGGTTGCATTTTGATGAGATTTTATATTTTATGTTCTGATATATTAATGGAAAAATTGTACATTTAAACATAACCATATGCAGTCAGTTTGTAACATTTAAGATTATTTTTAAATTTCTGATCTTCAGAAGCTTCTAAAACATCCAGAGAGTCTGACAGCTTTTTGACATCTGATGAGCTTACAAAGATGAAGGAAATGATGACTCTAGCAAAGCCCTTACCCAAGTCCTGCCATTTCCTCTCATTGGGTGATGTATGTATATTAAAGTTAGACTTAAGTCTTGTTTCTGAATTCATTATGCAAATAAAAAAATCAAAAATCAGTAGTGATTAGGTGGGGGGGGGGGGGTTGTTGGGAATTGGTAGTACTGTCATACAGTTATTTACAAAGAGTGTTTATAACAAACCATTTCCTCTTTTAAGGACGCTGAAGAGGATTCCTCTAAGGATACACTATCATACAACAACTGGATGCCCTGGCAGAACGCCCTACAGTCAGAGCACCAGATCAGTCACTCCAACAGAACCAGGAAGTTTGTAGACACTGTCAAGTTTATTGAACTTCAAGGTAAGAATGTTAACCCCAGGGAAAGATTTGTTAAATTAAAGAGGCATGAAATACAGTTTTGAAACCAAAAGACCAAAGTCTTTTTTTTAAGTAAAACTTACAGCAGTATTTTATCTAAATTACATGTATTTCTCACAAACCAGAAGAAACAGGAAATTTTCTCTTTGATTTGGCATAGTATAAATACTCTTCAATTTCTGTAAAATTTTCATCCAAACTCATAATAATTTGCTTTTTGTATATGGAAAATTTATTACACTTAAACATATGTTCATTTTTAGGCTGTGTAGATGAAAACAGCTATGATGAAGAAATGAGGCTGTATTTAGACCCAGAGGATATTGTTGATCCCACAAAGAAGAATTCAAACATTCAGCAGTTAGAGAAAGACTCATCCACAGGCAAAAAGCCTGTAAAAAAGACCCGTGTGAGACGAAGTGAACAGCTGCCTCAGTTTGATCCTATCGAGGAGGAGAGTGATGATGATCTCCCAGTGGGTTTATTTCAAAGAGACCAGAATTCAGAAATGGAGGTAGATGGTGAGGATAATAACCAGAAAATACCAGGGAAAAATGTAGGTGAGGATGATGACCAGAAAACATCAAAGCAGAAGAGAGAGACTAATTACCCATCTGTACTGCTGAATGAAGAAATGGAAGAAGCTCAGGTCAAAAGTAGAATCAGGAGGCGGTCAGAGGTCAAAGGGAAGAGGAAGTCTTCTGTTGGTGGGAGGAATTCGTTAAATGCCAGGGCTAGAAGAAAGAAAAGCTTACCTATAGCTTGTGCAAATTCTTCTGTTGTGTCCATAATAGCAGACAATGATGAGAATGACTTTGAAGGTGTGAACAATTCAGAAAGTAATAGCAGTGAGTTAAACCAGAGTGAGGCTTCTTTAGGTTCTAAGAAACCATTACAAACAATTCTGGAAACCTATAATAAAGCAATAAATAAAATCACAAATTCTAACCCTGTCTTACAAACTGTTCCAGAAATCATAACTATTGATGAAGATATGGATCATCAGAAATCTTGTGTTCAGGACAATGACCTAGAAAATCATCGTGAAAATGTTGACATTTCCAGTGAGTCTGGATGTTACTCTATGAATGCACCAGCATCACCTATGTCATCTGATAGTGAGGCTTTCAGCATCCCAGAGGCACCTCCTGTGGAAGAATTGGAAGAAATGATAAGTCTACTGGAGAGATCACCCAAATTTCCTGAAGATCTGCTGCCCATTGTTCAGGAATGGGAACTACAGCATCTTAAAAAGGTTGTGTTTGCTGAAGAAAAGCAGTCTGTTTCTTCTTGTGATATTGATACTGTTGACATTCCATGTGTTCCTAAGGATGACAGAAGAAGTGATGCTTCTTCAAATAAATTAGTGACAGAAAATAGCCCTGTGAAGATAATGGATAAAGGTAATTCAGTGATTACAAGCTCTGTGAAGGATAAAGCTATTGAACAGAATCATGTGAGAGAGAATAATTTATTAGAAATTAGTGACAAAGATAATTCAGCAATAATTGCAGGCAATACAGAGGTCAGCAATAATGCAGCTGAAACTCAGATTTCTGCAATGGATGCAGACAATGAAGTTGAGCCCATTAAAAGTAATGTTACAGGTCATATTGAATGTGTGGACACTAAAGCAGTTTCTGATAGTGTTGTGAAAAACGAGGGTATTTCCAAAAATGAAGAATTAAATTTTTCTGATGATGACAGTTTCCTGCATTCTCCACCTAATTTTGACTTAAGTTTTTCCGAAGTCTTGGTAGAACAACAGACAAATTCAAACAAGGATCAGAAATTGGGCAGTGAAGTTGGTAAGGACTCAGAGTTGCAAAGTGAAAAAACTTTATCTGCAGGCTCAGATGAAAAAATGTGCAATAAAACAGAGACAGTCATGAACACAGCTAAAAGAACTATAAACCCTGCTGACTTGAATTCATATTTTGATGATTCTTTCTTGGACGGTGAACTACAGGATTCAGTTCTGGCTCAAGACAAACTAGAGACTCTACCTCATAACAATAACTCCTCAGACCTTGAAAAGGAGCAAAGTCTTTCCCCTAAAAACAGTCCCTTGAGAAAACTCTCTCCAAAAGACGATGATTATACTTTCACTCAAGCAATGGCAGTTGTGCATGATAGTGAGGAAATGTTTCCAGCATCTGACTTAAATTCAGAGAGTGTCCTTGCAGGAACTTCTGCTGCTAAAGTGAAAGAAAACACCAACTCTGTTCCACAAGATGAAACACAAGATGCAGCCATTAGTCATTTGGATAACACCTCTGTTAGTGGCAGCCAAGACAAAACAACATCCAAAGCAGAAAACCATTTAAATGAAACAGAGTTTACAAAATTGCAGAACAAGCCTGAAAGAACTGCAACCTCTTTCAGTAGTTCTGAGGAGGATGAGGACCTTAGTGCTCTAGCACAGTTTGACCTGGGATTTGACCTGGATGATGTCATTCCACCATCTCCCTGTGTAAGCCAGAGTCTCTCACAAGGTGCTTTTTCCAAATGTCGAAGTCTCTTAAAGAGTAGAAAGTCATTGGCTTCGACATATCAGAGTCAAGAGTTCAAACCATCAGAAAATGTCCAGGAAGAGGATCTGTATTTACAAGTGATGGAAGACAAAGGTCTCCCAACAAATTTTGACTCAATCAGTGAGGAACCTGAAAAGGAGAAGTGTTCTCCAAAACAGAGTCATCTTTCTTCTGATATTCCTGAGGACTTTGAGCAACCTCCTTCTCCTGTCTTGTCTGGCAGAAGATCACTAAGTCAAAAGTCCACCTCTGTATCTGAAGAGAAGATGTCTAAGTCACCATCTCTTAGTCAACTAAACAAGAAGTTGTCACCAACTGTGGATCAAGCGAATAAGAGGTCTGTATCATCATGTGTGGATCAAACCATCAATGTTAAGTCAATGTCACCATCTCCTCTACATGAAGTAAGCACGAAAGCTGTGTCACCCAAAACATCACCTTCCATACTGAAGTACAAAGAAACAGTGGATAGTTTTTCATCTGATGAGGAAGTTGTAGCTGTAAAAAGAAAAAGGAAAGCAGTTATATTGGATTCTCCTGTTACACCATTGACACAAAAACAAACAGTCGATTATTTTGAGACCCCTCTAAAACCTGAAGATGTGCAAAGTGGTTTGAATCCAGTTACTCATGACGATTTTGTTACTCCTATTAAATCTAATCTTAAAAAGACTGTAAACTTCGACTCTAGCTGTGAGAAGTCAATCCAGAAAAAAGGTAGCCATGCTGTGTCATTTGCTCTACCTCCAGATTTTAGTGATGATGATGATTTTGAAGTAGACATAACAGCTTTAAAGAAATCTGTCCAAAATAAACATTGTAATAAAAAGGGTAAGAATCCAATGAAGAAAGCTAGCAAAGAAGCAAAAGGAAGGAAATCTAAATCCCCGCTTGCAGCTGAATTTCTGGAGGTTGAAGCAGAAGTATCTGATGAAGAGGTGGAATATTCTTGTGATGAAGAGGAGGGGAGTGATATGGATCACTATGAGGACAGTTTTATTGGAGATGCCACTCAGCTTTCACAGAGAAGTTCAGATAACATGCAGGCCATTTATCTCAAGTCTGTGAAAAGTCCTCCAGTGAGAGGAAGGTTTAAACTGTCTAGTCACCATTACAACATGGATGTTTATTCTCAGGCTCCTCCTGAGGAAGAGTCTCAGTATCTGGAGGACAGCTTTGTGGTGGATGAGGAGGAGGAAGAAGAAGAAGAGGATTCTATAATGCATGATAGTGTGGATGAAGTGACGATGTTGAATGTATCAGAACTCTCTTGTGTGGGAAGGAGAACAAGGTGGTCCAAACCTGTGAAGAGAACTGTTGGTACTGTCCAGCAGAAGAACGAAGGCGGTTCTAAACGGCGAAGAATTAAAGTACTGGAGGACTCATCCAGTGACGGTGAAAATGCCCACAATTCATCATTTGAAAATGTTGATATATCTCATATTAAACGGAAATCTCGCAAGGCATTGCTGTCTTCCAGTAGTGAAGAGGAGGTGCCAGCCCAGGTTACCAAAACCAACAAAGAAAATCTGACTCTCCTAAAAGAATCAAACAACAAAGTGTCAAGTCATCGAAATGACAATAGTATAGGCACAAGTTTGACATCAAACACAACTCTGAAGACTTCTCCTTCAATTATTGAAACGTTAGCTAGTCGTAAAAATATATTATCAAAGGAAGAACAACAGCGTTTAGAACGTTTGCAAAAACAGAAAGAGAAGCAAGATGAGTTTCGACGAAAAATGGCCGAGAAAAAAGCAGCTGAGGCTAGAAATGTGGTTAAATGTGATAGTGATAATCCTGGAAGAAGAAGCATCGTTAGTTCAACGGGGTTGATTCTAGACAGTTCTTCGATTGCGACAGTTAACAAAGAAAAACCCATCATTTTGGTGGATTCTCGTGAAATTAACGGATGTCAAGAAATCATATCAGAACTGAGATTTCAGCATGGTATAACGGTAAAGACGGCTCAGTTAACTAGCTGTGACTACATTGTCAGTAATCGCATGGGGGTTGATAGGCAGCAATGGTCAGAATTCACCAACGGGTCTCGCAAAGACAAACTTCTAGAAAGAGTTACCGCTCTTTGTGACTTGTTCGACAAACCAGCGTTGATAATCGAGAAGGATCATGTGAAGGCGGATGATAAAAATTCTAGCAAGCCTTTACACTGGACTAAGTACGTGGAGAAAACTCTTGTACACTTGTTGCGGTCAAAAGTGACGTTGTATTTCACGGATCATCAGAAAGACACGGCGCGCGTGCTTTCAGAAATCTGTCGTCTGGAAGCCAGAAAAAATGCTGACATCGGGGCCCCCACTGACTTGGACGAGACCTCTCAAGCAGAGCTGAGATTCTATGTGTCTATTCCTGGCTTGTCTTATATTAGTGCTCTAAATCTCTGTCATAATTATAAGTCGATCCGAGGATTTATTGTTAGCGATATTACTCAAATCATGGCCAATGGCTGCTTGTCCAAAGAGCGAGCCTCTCGAATAAAGGACTACCTACAGCGGAAATTTGATCCACAAATGCTGCCTTCGGGCAGGTGACGAGAGTTTATGTATTTGTTTTTATTTATTGCAAATCAAATAAATCATCGCTTATCTCCACTTCTCTTTTAATATTGGGGCTTTTCTTAAGAAGATCCCCGATGAAGTAGAAATGAATTACAATGTGCTATCGGTTAAGTAAGTTGATATTACACAGTATTGCTCCTAAAGATTTTTCAACAACTCTCCTCTTTCTGGGAGGTAAAGTTAATATTATTCATAATAAATCTGCTTAAGTACGCATGTAAAAACCATCATTATGTTTACCTTCACTATTTTCATACGAAGCGGGGGAAGTGGCTAACTTTGGAATGACTTTGAAATGCTTAGCTCTTTTACCGAAAGAAAACAATACTCGAAGGTTTTGCGATTGTGAACTTTTAATTTTTGTTAGTCGTCATTCAGTTAATATGGAGAAAATTTAAAAACTAGAATGGAAAGACACGGAAAGGAAAATTTTTACGAAGGGAATAGTCTAGGGTGAATTAGATAAATTAATAAAAAGGACTCAGAAATAAATATTCTTTTTTTCTGTCCCCACAACTACAGCAATCATGTGTTGATGATTATGTGTTTAACTTATTATTATCCGTTACAGTAAATGTCCATTTGCGTCATTTGTTTTCCCACCATTTATCAATGTATTTTCTTAACCCACGTAGGAATTGTCATAGTAATTGATATTTTCGAGGAAGTGTTTTTCTACTATTGATATTTCCTCGGAGCTGGTCGGGAGAACAACGTCTGCTTCGTAACAAAGCAATGAAATTTAATATAAGAAGTCCCTGTACTTAAATTTAAGGAGTAGTAAACAAATGAAAATAACATATATTAGAGGAAAAAGTAATTTCTTTTTGATAAAGATGTCACGTTAGAAATAGTAATTCTAACCGAAACAATTGTCTGTTGATGTTACAGCATGGGGTTAACGAACAATGTATATAGTCTTCATATTACCACACACAGGGACATTGAGCCCCAAAACAACGCCAAGGAGACTGGCACATTTAGCAAAGTGCAGTGTACTTTTATCGGTTGAAACGCTTTGTCAGTTTGTTTATCTGTCTTCATTGAAATGGCAGAATAAATATCGGTGCATGTCCCTTTCACCTAAACTTCTCAGGAATCTTGAAGTGTGACACTCAGAAACACCATTATGCGATGTTTGGACGGGCCTCTAGCCTTCCGTGTTTGTGTAGAAGACGCAGCTAACTCGTGTTTCATTTTCAAGTAAATTTCCTGAACCTCCTCCCGCCACAAGGTCCCACTCGTCTGCGCGAACCGGAAACCAGGAGGCTTTGTCTGATTTATCTCCCCTTTCTGAGATAGGGAATCGACAAATTTATTGCATTTCAACCCTCGATGTATTTATAATCGCGCTACAAACCCACGCAGCAAGGAAATAAATTTGTCTCTGCCTTTGATATGACGACTGCTTCTTGTCCGTTGCTTACCAGGGTGTTGCAGAGGACTCGTTCTCTGGATCCTTGGGCCGAATTACTGGACTTTATAACGTCTGCCTGTAGCAGAAGGGCTATGGAAGAGCTTTCCTCTACATTTGATACTCCCTAATTCTGTTTATAAAATTAGGCATTTTGATTGAAATGTAGTATTTGTAAGACACTTGCAAATAATTGAACAATGTTTGAGGGTTGCCCTTTGACCATAAAGAAAAAAAAAATCCTCCTTTGTAAGCACTTCAAAGGAGACGACGTCATTTGCTCCAGAAACTTTCCTAGCATTGTATTTGTTTCCTGGTCAGTTCTAATTCGGTTTGGTACTTCACCTCTGCAGAATCTGAAAATAATATAAGTATTAACTGATCTAGGTAAAGAGAAGGAAGCCATTGTCACCAGAGTACATATGCATGCAACAGTATAAACTACAAAAACTAACAAGAAACTTTGAGCTTTGATTAGAAAGTACTTTATTTAAAACTTTTTTTTCTTAATTTGTATTCCTGGAATTTTATCTTTGAATAATGCAGAATGAGGGTGGGGCGGCATCAAACATAGATTAATTCCTAACATATCACAGCAAAACCCAATTTTGTTCAGTTTTAAAAATTGTTGTATTGGAATCGGACCAAAAGTAAGATAATCATTAAAAGAAATGTTAATAGTCAAATTAATTTTGATAGGTAGACGTACAACTATCTTACTATCGCATATGCTCTTCGTATCTGACCATTAGAGCTGTGTTAAGAAGAACATGTTGAAGTTGGTCATCATAAAACTGTTTTGTTATTTCCACGAAGACTGGTGTCTGCCTCGACCAAAAAGTAATTTCACGAGGTTTTTAACATCGTGTGTGAGTGGTTCATAAATCTGTGATCTCAATCGAGCGGTACAATGCCCATTAGCTAGGTCGTTATATTGATATATTAAACCAGTAATTTTTAAAATTGAAAATTGATCTGGTATTGAAAAGTCTTACCAATTTTAATTTTCTTTTATACAAACGTATATTTAATTGTTCATTTACAAGGATAACTGCGGTTGGTTAGAGTCTTTTTACAGGAGAGGGACCGAAATTTTCTATAAAATTACGATACAGCCTAGCGATCGGGTGGCAAATTTTTTCGGGAGGTCGTAATTAAATATAGATATTTGTGCAGCAAATTGCTCCCCCTCTCGTTTCTTTACGAGCACCTGCTGTTTTTCCGTGGGTCTAGTGGAGGTCCTCTTCGCAACTCATCTCCGTGTAAAACCATTTTTTAAAAACAAGTTTATTCCAATCCCTGCCGAGTTTATATCGCCAATAAACGGCTGCATTATGCAAAAAGGGTCGAGTGCAGGGGTATTTGTTAATAGGCATCAAGCACTTTTACTGGATGAGCTGCCTTAGCGACTGACGAGGATGTGATGTCATTCCCAGTTTTCGTGCTGTCTTCGTTTGTCGTCAACAGGAACCGTCTAATACGTTTTGATACCCCAGATTTAGTTACCACGTGACTGTCTTGGTAAAATGACGCATTTTCCTCCCAGCTAATTAGCACTGTGTGGCCAAATAGGCCCCCATGAAGTATTTAGATGGTATAGTTAAAATATATTTATTTGCTATGTGTGAAGTGGTCTAAAAATGAAGTCATAAAGGAAGAGATTTTAATTAAATGATCACAATTTATTTATGAAAAATAATTATTAATTAAAGACTCTCAGAAAAGGAGAAAATCGTATTGTAGGCTATTCTTGGATTATTTTTAATAGATAGGAAATGACCACCGTTATATTCTTCTATGAAAACCTCAGTGTAGATTAAAAGTAATTTTTAGTCTAAATATTAAAAGCGTAGAAAAGTTTAAATTTATTTTATGTTCAAGAAATGCATATATGGGTCTTTCAATGGCGAGTCAAGGTAGGGAGGTTTGTATTCCTTGTGACAATCTAAGACTTCATTCGAATACCATTAAGTTTGACCTTGACCTTGGAGTTTGACCTATTTTTGAAAATCTTGCATCTTAGCCATAAATTGTGAACAGTTAGTGCCATTACTTTTATATATGATACAAGGCCTTGTCCTGGGTACTATTAATTTAATTTTGACTCTTTGGCCTCGACCTTGGAGTTTGACTCATTTAACAAAAAGACCTTGCCCATATAACTTTTGAATGCCTGAGCATTCATGTCCAACATGTCCAACGTAGCCTGGCAATATGTCATGATAAAATTAGAAAAAGATATTACTGCTGCATGAACACTCTTAAACTTTGTATAAGATCAAATACTAGTTTGTATCCTATTTCAAGCTGTAAAGTTGGCGTTTATATTTTTATAAAATTCAGTATTTCTGTTTGTATTTTATATGTAACTTGCGTGGAGATGACGATTTATGTATCGATTAATGCCATATATAACCTTCCTGGCCATTTTCCATGTTAGATAGCTATGTGTTCATTCAGTAACCAGACAATTGTTATAATGATCAAGGTGAAGATACGAACGGTGATCGATCCTTAAACAAAATACAGGAATAGGAAAACGCTCAGAGGTGAGATCAGGTGCCTAGGAGGATTAAGCATCTCCTTCGGCCTGTCACACCTACTGTGAGTCTTATATGTATTAATTTGGTAGAGGGAATATTCGGTATTCAAGTTAAATTAAAATCAAAGGGCTGGCAATTGGTTTGAAATGCATATATCGGTCAAAATAGGACCCAATGATAAATTATATTTGCTACAATATAATTTTATGATTTATTGACTTTATATAAGATTGTTGAAATCCCTGTAACATAAACTTATCTATTAGTAGCCTGCCTTGGTTTAGAGATCGTAATCAAAAAATATTCTTGAGTATAGATTAAGCTGAGATATTATCTCAAGTGAAGTGCCAGTGGAATGTTAGAAGTATTACTTCAAAAGTAAGGAAAATTGACGATGAAAAGTTGAAGTCGTTAATCAAATAACTTATAGTCACAGGCACTAGGCGTCTTTAACTTTTCTATTCATAACTTAAAAAAATCATAAAAAAATTTCTCCATGCTATAATAATTATTATAATATTGGGAATTTTTTATCGATGTAAAAAGAAATGTTAAAAACATAAAGTGTCTGTGCTTATCGTCTATTATCAGTCAAACATTCCAATATGAAACAGATATGGCAGATCGACTCTATGGTGTCTTTTATTATGAGTTCGCTTGGATATATTGAATTGAATTTGAATCAAGAAGAAGCTACTGTTAATTTAAAATATTGAATGTCGAGTTTAATTTAAGCCACAGCAAATGTTTTCTTCTCATGCAGAAGTTTTTGAATATTCTGTAAAATCAGCTTCATAAGAATACAAAAAGGTCTAATAAAGGAGCATATGTAGTGCCCATTAAAATTCCAAACAGTCCTTTGGAAGAACTTGTTTCCAAAGACTCAATTTAGGATGTCTTTGAGGGAGCCTGGTGTCCTTTTAATGCAATTTATTTAAGAGTACATGTACTTATAATCAGAGTGATTTTAACAAAATTATTCATAAGATATGAAAATTTTCGACTTCCATTTAATTGAAGAAACAGTTGTCTGTGATCTGAACAAGCATAGTACATGTACATTAATTTTGCATTCAATAATGCGTTACTTTCATTATACTAGATCTACCTGCATTTTGTTTTTCTTTCATGCGGATCATTCTCCTTTATGGGTGAGGCGCATCTTTATTGCTCCACTTGGGTACCAGTTGGACTAATATCTTTATATCGTGTAAAAAAAACATTGTCCGATGGCCTTATACAGTTTCTCAAAAGTGCATCATATGCATGCATTGCCTATAGTATGGAGCCGTGGTGTACTTTAATATGAAATTCAACCCCGTATATGGAACCTGTTATCTGATTTAGTACTAGAGAGCAGCCGACCACAATTTTGTTCATTGAATATTTGGTTTTAACTTAATACTTTTTTCCATTCTTAAAAGAATTATGGTTGAAATGCGTGTCATTTGTTGCTGTTAATTGTACCGATTTTCAAATTCCGGAGAACAACCATTTTACGCTTTATAATAACTTTAATTGACCCCCAAGTGTTAAAAATAAATATTTCTACACTTTAAGTTCGTGTTTATTCTTTGCCTTGCTATGGCTTACTCTATCGACCTACTGATTTGTATGCCCTTGTTCATAACTGTATTATTAACTTTTAATTGAAAAATAACATCATTGTGTATTGTATGTATAGTGTTTTATGACTCTTGTTAATTATGTTCCACTAAGAAAAGGCCCTTTGAATGATTAATATATAAGCAATGTGTTAGGATGACTAAATGATTTTAATTGAAATTAAATTGGTATGGACACCTTGAACATTGAGGCCTTAGTAGAATGATTTCTTATTTTAAATTGCTCAATTCAGAAAAATTCAATTTGTCCTCTGTTTTGATAATTTTTAAGTCCACTTTATTCTTAAAATAAAAAATGAAAAATTCTAGTTTTATTTTATTTTATATAATAATTTGTGTTATTGGAGCAATAGCAAAGATCTCAAGTTATTTGCCTAGCTCTCCTTCTTCAAAATGTAAGGAAAAAAATTAAAAATCGTTGATGGTCTTTTAGCGTTGATAAATCAAGTCTCTCGGCAATCATAACACTTATTTAATAATTTTGTTTTTGTATGTGTTGCGGTGTGGTGGTGGTGGTGGTGGTTGGGGGGGGGGCACTGTGGATATGTGATGAAAACTAAAGCAATATTTCAAGACGGGGTAAATTTAGTTCACAGAATAACACAATGTATACAATTAGCATAAGTACAATAGTAAACACATACAGTTTAACCTCGGTATCTCAAACACCGATATCTCGAATACCATGGATATGTCGAAGTGATATGGAAGGCGTAATTCTTAAAGTATTTTTCCTTGATATCACGAATCCTTTGGACATCTCGAATTTTTTCTCGGTCATTTCGAGTTGGGAATAACTAGGTTTGTCTGTATTTACAAAAAGTATGTTGAGTTTTTTCCTGTCTATAATTGTATCTTATATTGAATTCATTTAAAAAATATTTATATTCATGTTTTCTTCTCTTTTCGTAAAATACACTAGAAATTATTTTTCTCACCGACCAGCTACACTCCCTCCCTTAAAACTTTTAAATGTCAGATTGTAAATGTTACTGGAAAAAAACGAAAAATATGCCAGATTGACAATATGTATCTTTCAGGTGGTGAAAACAAAAAGATATAGTGTAAGTCTAGTTTACATGTAGTATGACCCAGGAAGTCTGAGCATGTGCACGTTCACATGTATAGCTGTGTTTTGTGGAATGTTTAAGCGATGTTTATGAAATGGATACCACACATCTCCAAAACAATATTTTTAGGCTTATACAATTATGATGTACTTTAAATTTCTAAAAGACGCATTGTTAAAAAAACAGACCTTGGATTTCTTATAAAAACTAAGTTGAGATAAAAGTAATTTTTTTCATAAGGGGATTGTACAATGGAGGAGGTGGCATCATACGTTTCACACGCTGGAATCCTCCAAAATTGACCCGAACAATTTACTGTCATCCCGTGTGCAGAATTTGATAGGCTTGATGATGAAGGAACTTTTTGTTCGCTTCATATCTGTATCCCGTTCAACATGCAACGTGACGTAAATGAGTTATTTTTAAAATAAAAAAGAAAATATTTTCATATAGCATACTAGATACTTTCAAATAGAAGTTTGTTGAAACTTGAAAAATTGTGTTATTTTAGATACACTTTGTATCATAATTATAAAGACCACTAAATAAGATAATATTTATATATCAAAGAGCTATGATCCCTTGAAGTCTATACATATATGTAATTTGAAACTTTTACGTCAAACATATCGGTTGAACAAACACCTGTGCATTGGACACACGTTTTGTGATGAGGGGTAAGGACGTAGTTATTATATTGCACACCTTCCCCCCAAACCTTGACTGAGGGTGACTGTTCATCACCAATTTTGCATATCAAATATTGTCAGATTTTTATGTGCATATTTTAATTAAATCAGTGCGTGAAAAGTAGTTCGTAAAACGTGAGAGGAAAACCCGTGTATGTCTTTCTAATTTTTGATAAAATTCTGTTGGAGAAGTTTTACTTCTTTAGGCCACCTTTAAAAAATTGTTTGGTTGTCCTTTCCCGACCGACTGGCTAAAAATGGCCCGACTCAGTTTTTATAAAGAAAATTCCAGGAGCAAGTTTTTATGTATTACGGAAATCAGCATTGATGCTGAATTTTTTAAGGACCCCCTCCCCCTTCAACTTCCGACCCATTTTTTCATCCTTAGATCGTGGATCTGGAGAGCTAGGGTAAGCAAACATTATTTAAAATTTGGCCTTATATGACACACTGGCATTTCGAGGATATACTCCTTTGACCATAAAAACTGGCTTTTATTGTTGTTTGTTTGACCAACGCCAAAAAAGATAACATTTGATATATCACCCTCCGTTAAGTGACAAAATGTGTTAATCTCGCAACGACAGGTCTTATTAATATGGCTGAGAGTGACAGAGACAATATTTGTCTTTTCACGTTTATCCCGAGATAAGCCGGGGTGGAATGCCCTTAATCCACAAGATTTGTATATTTTAGATATTCGTCAGTATTCATAGGAAATTTTTGTAAGCATTAAAATGATATAACCCAGATCAATGTTTATGTACTAAGGATAATTTCTTCATTTTCTGAGTATTCCGCTTTTCTATTTGAAGTTGTTTTTTCGAGCTGAAATGTTACGTATATGCTATTCAGGAAATAATCGGGGATAATAGAAGTTGGTCGGCTTAACTGTAATCCAAAAACGACACCCAAAGTTCGTAATGCTTTTTGACAATAAATGAAGGAGAGGTTAATTATATGTCAAGAAAATAAAAACAATTTGAAGTGAAATATTTCAATTATTACCTTTAAATGTACACGTAGGCCACACTCTCTGTTAATTAATTAAGTCATCAGAAGAGTTTATTTGCTAACTTAAAACATGTCACAGAGTAAAAATTCTATAACTTTTTTGTGTAGGTGTAAAGTTATTATAATAATTATAAATTATTTTAAATGTTATACTTTGAATTATGTCTGCAAATATACTAAAATAATATAAATATGTACGTGTATTTTTACATGAACACAAAATGCGACAACGTCTGATAGAAGCTTTTGAAGCTTAATCATTGAGTTATAATAAAGATTTTAAAATGTTCTATTTTTAATTATGTCTGCAAAATATACTATAGTAACATAAATTTATACGTGTATTTTTACATGCACATTTAAAGTCGACAGCCCGGTACTTATTTTAGGGCTTTGAAGTTTAAGCAATATTTTTTTTTAAAGATGCGTTTGCCTCTTGTAGTATTTGCTAAACAGTTTCAGAAAGTTTTTTCTCTCCATGCATATTGAATACTTTTGCATACATTTCGAAGGCTGGACTTCAACCTCGGAAATCTAGCTTATAATGGCATGTAGAAAGGTGAAACTTTCGAAATCTTATTTTTTTTCAAATGAAAATACATCTTAAATATATATATAATTTATGTATATATCGAATTTATTAGCTGCAAATGCAAAGTTTGAATCAGTTATTCAAAAATGCAGCTATATTTTTTTACTCTACTTAACATGAATAGGACCTGTATATACGGTATTTGAATGAAGCACCCATGCATTGGGTACATTGGTTGCATCCAGGCCATGTCGCTTTAAAAAAAAAGTATTTTATCTACATGTATGGGTCAGACTTGAAATAATGTCGGAAATGAATGCAACATTAAAATGCTGAAAAACTAACATATGTGGGTAGTTAATATGTTTATACTTTGCAAAATGTGAATTGTGGAAAGGGGTGCATATCTTTAATTTTATAGTGGTGAAAATAATTAATAATCCTCACTTAAAATTTACATCTATGAAATGTTTACGATACAAATAAACAACCTTATGCTTCAATTTTACAATGTATACAGACATATCGTTTTATTATTTTTGCTAGTTTCTTCTTTTTTAAATCGTCTGTCGTTAAAGGTAAATATCAAAGCGCGTACCGCTATCGCAGGTGAAAATGTGAATGAGAAAAATTAGTCAGACGCATACGTCACAGGAGATCAGCCAATCACAACTCGCCAGTTCGGTGATTCATAACGCGATATACACAGGTTCGACAGACAGACAGAGCAAGGTCCCCGAAGTGGATGTGTATTGACCGAACTCGGAAAATATATCAATACGTCTATTGAACTGTTTATATTTTTCAGCTTTCGTGTTTACATGTGAGCATGTTTCAACGAAATCAATGTGCAGAAATTAAAAATCTGGAGACAGAGGAAGAAAATATTTAATTCTAATATTCCATTGGAATGAACTTGACAGCGGTATTGCCTGTAGCGATTAGTTAAATTTTTACTTGTGATCATGCCTCCTCAATCAATGATGGACCATACTATTAATCTACTACCTACGCAATGTACTGAAGATCCACAGGCTACACGAGTGAAATGTGTGTTACTCGGGGACGGTGCAGTGGGGAAAACCAGCCTAGTGGTCAGTTATACCACAAACGGATACCCTACCGAATACACCCCCACCGCCTTCGATAATTTCTCTGGTAAGTAATTTGAGAGAGAGATCAAGAGAGAGAGTTGTGCAATTAGAAATATTAAAATTTTATTTAAATGAGAATATGTCAACGATATGATTTATAACTGCACATATTTTGGAATCTTAAACCCCACCTAAAATTAGCACAAGTTTCATTACATACAAAAAATTTCTAGACTGGTATCAAATTAATGAAATTTGTCAAATTCTTTGGTTTCTGGTGTCGCATGGAATTGGATACACAATGCACACTTGAGGTTCATATTTAACACACAGGGTGATCATTGGCGATATTAAAGGCATGTAAGGTGATATGATATCACTAATACAGTTGTAATTTTGTTATTTTATAATATGGCGAATTCCTGCCCATCATCCAAAGTCAGTTAAAGTGCCCCAAAACTAGTTTTTGATGTCACAAACGATTTTTGAAGACATAACCGCACATCTTTAGTTGTTTGGGGGGTTAAATGTTATGTTAAGTGATGATCAATTTGAAAATATTGATATTACGATGCATTGATCCAGTTTACTTTTCAAAAGTAAAGGATTTCTAACCCTAATTTGATCAAAACAGGATGTCACAAACAAGGGTGGTTGTATTCAGGTTTGAAAAAATAATTTACTAATACCAATAAAGAAGGCTAAATATTGTATATCATAACAATTAAGGGATAAACAACTCATTTTTACTTACAATTTCTCTGCGATAGCCGAAAAAATTTTTTGCTCTGCGTAATATGAATGTCCCATTCAATGCAGTGGATTACGTTACGATTTTCTCACAGCTTTAACGGAATTGTAATTGACAGAAACAGTTATGTTACATGGATAAAATTGATCATCAAGTTATCAAAATTTAAAAAAGAATAATGATTTACAGGCAAATGATAACATTTGTGTCAAAAAATTCACGAATTTTCAAAACTTTCAATTTGAGCATTTAATTGTGAATTACGTTACGCGATCTTGCGCACAGTTCCTAAATGCCAAGAACTTCAAATATCCAGGCTGAGATAAACACTTATGCCCATTATAAATTACACATAGACATTGTCTTAAACTGTCGTAATCAGTTTTATATTTGAATTAAAGGTACAGTCCGTGAACTACGTTACAGTGAATTACGTTATGATCTTCTTTTTGGTGTAAAAAAAATCCTAACTAGGTTCAAAATTACCACGAATCTTAATTCAATGTCATCGCTTATCATATGGGAACTAGTAGAAAGGACGTTTACAGGTGGGAACGGTTTTGACTAATGCAGTGGTGTTAAAAATTATTTTAAAACTGAAAATTTGACTTTTAAACGAATAAAACTATGTCATCGTTATAGCTGCTATTGGAATTTCACTTTTGAAAATGAAGGATACATGTTCTACTAAGATATTATAAGTATAAAACATTGATTCGCTCGGCATTTAATTCAGAAAAGGTCTGTATAATAGTGTAACGTAATCCACAACAGTGTAACGTAATTCACACATTACATAAAATACAGTTTTAATCTTAGATAATGACTAGAATAAGTAATGCTGAGCCTCAAAAGAAATTTCGGTGATAGGAAAAGGCCAAAGAAGGAGATAACTACCTGGAAAAAGAGGTCTAACGTGTAAGAAAAAGTATTATCTACCCATTTCATAATTTGCCTAAAAATCAACCACATCTCAATACAGAAATAAACAGATCTTTTCAATAGTAAAAGGGTCTAGAAAAAGTCCATAATTTGTTTAAAGAACTACATAGAACACACTAAATTAAGAAATTTCTCCTTACTTTTAATTTTTTTTTTTCAATATTGATACTTACAGTCAGGTATGTGAATTACGTTACATTGTTTGTTTTATTAACATATTGATTTTGAAATATACTTTAATGCTTAATCCCACCAGACTTAAGTGAGATGCCATAAATCGTGTAGATATAATGTTTAGATTATCTGTAACAAATAGTTATTTTGCACTTTCGGAATATACAGCATTTTATTTCATCTGACATGTAACGAGGTGTGTGAAATATGACTTTATTTGATGTTTTACAATGATAACAATCTAGATATACATAATTATGATGTCTATTGCAAAGATATTGCAATATCAATAATCATTTTCTGTATTCTAATTTGTAACAAAGCAGTTGTTTAACAAATAACAATCATTAGTTTTGATTTTAGTGATGAATGTGAATTACGTTACAAAGAAGACAGTTTGTTTCTGTCTCAAAATAAACGTTTACATTGACTTTCAAAGTGCAAAAACTTGAGAGTCATTTTGTAAAAGGTATACTCATGCAAGTACAAACAAACCTTTTTGTTAATTTGAGTATGCAAGTCTAATCAAAGAAAAAATAAGATGCCATATTCTCAAAATCCATATTCTTCTTTTTCGTAGATTAATTAAATGTAAATATGGAATAATTTTTAACATATTGAAAATTTTTAATTGCACTATGGTTTTTAATTAGATAGTTATTTTATCTCTATCAAATACGACTACTTGAAACACCATTTTGAATGCTTTCGTAATAATTATTTTTCATTTTTAATAACATCATAAGAAATAACGTAATTCACTGGAAAAATTACATTGGATATGTTCCATATGTGTGCAGAATATAATACCCCCTTTCAAGAGCTATCATATGTGTTTTCTGATCATTCGAATATTGTTCTATCAAAATTAAAACATTTCCTTTGTATTCCAAGTTGAAAATCCTCAGCCGTTTTTTGATACTTTTTGGGGCACTTTAACTGACTTTGGATGCCATATATAAAAATGTCATATCCACAATTTTTGGACAAAGGTAAGTAAAAACCTTGGTCTTCATTTTTCTATGTCACGGGCTTTAAAAACCTCACACACATTCTTGGACATAATTAGGTCAATTAGCATAACCCAATAAATTAAAAAACTGTTTTGACACATATGTATGATTGGCGAGTAAAGTGAAATGTAATTAAATCTTGTAGATAAAAATCTGTTCAATGTTACAGCATTGTTGTTTTAACAGTTGAAGGCACCCACTGTGGGAAATTTGTCACAGATTAGCAGGCAAATATGTCTACATTTTTCAATACCATTCTTTGTAATCATGAAAAATTCAACAAGAACAGAAAAAAGTGTTCCTCATGTCAAATAATTCACTCAAATGTCAAGTAAAATAATTTTTAATTAATCATGCTGATTATGAAGTATTGAGTAGGTATAATGTCATTCAATCATAGGTGCTGATTTTCTTTTGAATATCAACAACCTTTTTATTTAATGATTTAAACCAGAACAGGACTGCGAACAGATTTAATTAGCTTAAAAAACAAAAGAGATAATGCCCTGTAGTATAGAATTCATCTATAAATAAAAAAAAATTACATTAAAAGGTTAAAACCTTGAATCTTAATTGTGCAATCAATAATTCAATGCTAGCAAATCACCAGTCCCACCCATTTGTACAAACCTGACATCTGCAAGTTATATGTTAAATGTGTAAATACAAGATTTGGCACACATACATACATCACAGAAGGTTGACTCGGTTGAAAAATGTTTGAATTGCAAATGAAGATCTTTTTTTCTCTTTTTAAATTTGAGAAAAAATTTAGTTCTCAGCCCCTTGCAATCGTATCTATAAATTGTTTATCAGCAATTAGTCTTCAAGATGAAAACCATTTCCATCATAATTTGCAATGACGGAAGCAATTTGCCATGACATTGGATAGGCTTTTAGAAATTAAAGAAAAAGGGCTTTGATCTGTCAGATAATTAATTCAGATGCTGATTTTTTTCTCTCATTTTTCTTTTGACAGATAATATATAAATCCCACTGGCAGGGATAAAAAATGTTGAAGATGACCCAAAAAATAGATCCCTACCTTTTTTTTTCATTCACTCTACAATTCTTATAATTTTAGAAAGGGATTTTAATGCATTTGAACTTCAAAACCTGTTATATGAATGGAAGGTTTGATGAATACTTATACCTGTAAAAGGTGTGTTAGATTTCAAAGGACGAACATGAATTAAAAGCAGACTAAATTCACACCCCAGTGGCTGAATGGGCCAAATCATAAGCCGTGGATAAAACCTTCCCTAAATCCGTCAACAAAAACATCTATCATAAATCATTTTCTATCAGGATTTATTTACACCTTTCCCTTAAATGATTTTCTATTGAAATATTTTCACCTTTTTGCTTTCTGTTAACAATAAAAGTACGGTATTTGTAAAGTTTTTTTATTTCTTCACTCTTACTGTGTTTTAGTCAAACGATAGACTTATCGGCAATAATTGATGATATATGATTACCAGTACATGTGTTTTGATGATAAAGGCATAACACTAATGATAGATCTTGTAACAATTTAATTACCACCATATCCAAAAGGGAAGAACATTCCTACAGCATGATCATTGTGTTGTGTTTTATTACATAAGTGACCAGCGTATGACCTTTTTGCATCTATTAACACATTATGCCTCCGTCTTTATACCTGGTAGGTAAAAACCAGCCACCGCAAAAAATAGCAAGTGCTTGAGTGGTGTAAGGGGGCTCACACTTTTCAGTGTTAAGTGGTTTATTAGCGGTTAATGTATTAAGAGGCTCTGATTAGTATGGCCTATACCTGTGGATCTTATGCAGATTTAATCCCAGAGCCATGAATCATACAAGGGAAAACAGCCCCCAATACAAGAGGCCACTGTGTAATATTAACACATTATTCTGACCAATGTTCAGAAATATATCCCTGTCTTTCATCATTGTGTAAGGAGAATGAATCATAAAACCTGAATAGCTTAGATCAATCTCTTCTATATTTTTCTGTAAGCATAAAAGAATCATTTCATGCAATAAATGAAAGCACAATACAGAAATATGTTTTTTTGAAAATAATTTTTGAGGAACATAAAAATCTTATTATTAATGTTCAAATATAATATTTATTTTAAGTACATTTTGTTTGTTTTCAGTTGAGGTGAAGGTCGACCAGACCCCAGTTCATCTACAGCTGTGTGATACAGCAGGACAGGTAGGAATTATCTCCCCTTTATCAGAATGTACAGGGCTCTTATCTTCCTCTCTCTCCCTTGACGTTTATTTTTCATTTGAATTCATGCAGATATTATCTTCTCACATTAAACAGAGATATATATAAATAAGTTGAGAATTTATGATTATAAAATTTTTTGCTTAAAAAAAGCAAATATTTTGTTTTTTATTTATATTGTTGAGATTTGCCCTGAAGGAGGGAGAAAATTTAAGAGATATGTATTTGACAATTTGACATGACTTGTTTACAAACAAATCTGATAAGCCTGATAAGAAAGTCACTTTATACACTATTAAATGGTCACTACCATAAAATGGACAGTTCTATCTTAGCACCTCTGTGCTAATGGTACATCTCCAATTGAAAATTCTGCCCACAGGGATATTGGGTGAGAAATAAAGAGAAAATTCCACGAGCTGATAAAATACAAATTCAGACAGCTTTTAAGCAAGATAAAAATATAATAAGATGCCCCCTAGGTAAATTATTGTGATACCAGTTAAAAATGTCCAGACCTGGTATATTTTATGCAGGAATTTGAACATGGGGCTGAGGCCAAAGCAATAAGGCACTGTAGAACTGAGAAGCACTGGTACAATGTAAATATTTAATTAGACTTTTTTGCATAGTGCAGAGAAATAACAAAGGACTTGATTTGTGAGGCTGTATTCTGAAAATGTAATTACCAATTCATATTCCTTCTAAAGGCTTTAAATTCATTGGCCTTTAGTTGGCCCATACTTTTTTTTTCTTTTTTCAAATGAAGAATATTTTCTATTTTCTGAAAGACCTATAAAAACTGTACCATGGTAACTGGCAGGAATTTCCTTAATTTAAAAAGAAAAATGAAGTTCTGAATTCCACAAGCTAGCTTTCTATTCTTCTGCATGATTGAAAAAATTGATTTGTATTAGATTAAAGTGAATTGTTCAGATGGAAATAATGATTTGGAAGCTTAAAAACCAGTAAAGGAATTTTGTTCAGTAGAGGACAGGTGATCGGTTCAACCTGTGACTCACTGCAAGTGCATGACCCAAAATCACCTGTTTTTCTTTGGGAACTTGTCAATGGTCTAGACATTTTAATTCACACAACTTCCAAAATTTTAATTTTGTCAGTCAGAAGAAGTGTTTGAAATTTAATTGTATGAGAAAAGAAAACTTTGTCCCAGCTTTTGAATTGTTCGAGGCAAGTTTGTCAGACAGAAAAGGTCATTAGTTACAATGGATTACGTAACATTTTTGTGGTAAATGTTAATTTTCAAAAAATATTTAGCTCTGTATTCTTCTTGTCTGTTATGTTTATTTTTGACCTGACATGGATGTTTAAGATCTTTATATAAAGTTCTTGAGGGGGGTATTGTATATCAAATAAAATTCAAACTACTTGAAGAAAAAGAAGTGGATCCTAAGATTGGAGATTCTGTATAATAAAATTTCTGTTCTCCTTCAGCAAAATAGGTCAATTATATCCTATAAATACCAGAGAAAATCTATCTAAAAATATTTATCAAATGATAGAACATAGAGTTTGTGATTCATCTCAGGAAACATGATTGAGTGAGATATCACTGAGCAGGAAGCTCTCTGGGCAGGTGCCCCGAGATTAGGAGAAGGAACACTTCTTCTGATATCACCCCAATGTTCACCAAGGCTGAGGAATTATCAAAATCCCTGGCCCCTAAATGATTTAATTAAACCCACAGGGAATAAAAATTTAATTTGAAAACTCATTTCAATGATTTGTCTAAATGTAAGTTTTTCTCATCTTTAAGACATCAATCTGGCAAAGGAATGTTTTTTATTTGATTTTTTCACAATGCAAGACTTAAATTGAGCTGCAGTGGGTGGATTTTAGGAAGACTTTATTATGACCCCTGAAACTGGCTTGGTTGAACTTTTTCAGAGAATTCCCAGCCGTGTGTCTGCCTGTCTTGCTGGGTGGTTAGGTTCTGGTATTGTGCCAGTCTTAAGCACCGGTCCGGTGTAAAACCAGCTTAAGTACACCTCTGAAGGGCTGGCCTAGTCCGATTACACTTTTAATAAAGCCCTATAAGTATTTATAACAACTTTTTGAAAAACATTTTTATGTTTTACCTTTTAAAGTATATATACTTTACATTCCATCACATAAAAGAAATCAATGTGAAATTTAAAACATATGTTTGATCCATTTGCATGTGCAGCTTGATCACGTTTTGTCTGTCGCATGCATGCAGGGATGGAACTTTGGATGACACACTGTTTAATTCGAATGGGGTCATCTGAAGATGTACACAAAATGCCATTCTTGAGTTTGAACTTTAAATTCGTGTTTTCAGCGCAGTGGCTCAGATTTACATGGTAGATATCAATGATGACTTGTGTCACCTCAGAGTGGAAAAAGTCAAACAGTGGGTGAGATCGCCAGAGATTCTGAGTGTTATCTCCATATAAAATCTACCCTGTAATCTATATTGTTGTAGCGAGGTAAATCAGCAAACAGCCCACAGTGTTTATTTAGTTAGACAGTTGTCATGTTTTTTTGGCATTTTTTTTTTTTGTTTTTACTAAGCAAATAAGGAAAGAGACTTCAGTATTTTTTTAATTGGCTTCTTGACCTTTTTTTGACATATACAGTCACGGGAAAGAGGTTTATAAGTAAAGCATTATCAAGTTTTAAATTAAGAGCATTCAGAAATTGAATTTTTGTTTAATTGAAATGAAATTAAGTTCATAAACTTCTGCAAGTGAACTCAACAGATTTCTTTTTTTTCTCTTATATAATATTCAAAGCCCTATGATACATACTTGATTTATTCGGTTAAACCCACCCAGTTTGAGAAAATAAGAGTACAATTGTATAAAAACCCCATTGTACTGAAATGACCAACTTTAGAATACACATTAAGAATTAGGTGATAATGGACCGTGGTCTGCGGCTAATACACAATTGTTCTGGACTGGTAGTACCAGGTTTATAAATCCCCTCTTATAACCTTCTTGTTTATGGTCAAGTATAGAGTGTGTTTTGAAAAGGAGTGAGTCACTCTAACAAGTTTTAAACATCTGGGCGTGTTAATTCCCTCAATCTTTTCAAATCTTTTTCATCACCACTGAGATCGGAGACTATACTTTGCATCTTTCAGTGTTTTTGTTGTTGGTCTTTGTCAACAGTGTTTGGCCGTGCAAGGTCCAATTTTTCATAATGAGGGGTTACTCTCTCTCTCTTCCTTGACCTCAGCCTTATAGAGTCCAGGCAACAGTGCTAGCGATGCCTCTGGCTACATCTAGGCTATAAAAGTGTTTATCTACCAGCGTACCCTACAATTACATGGAATAAAAATGTAGAACTACATAGAATTTTATCTTGTATTTGACAATCTGCTACAGCTTTATTGCTACAAAGACTGACGTATCAATAATTGTCTGACCCTGGACATCATGTGGTTGTCTCCCTTGTTTATGAATTTTGTTTAGGTCAAGAAAATTAGCCTGTTTTCCTTGGTACGTACAAGTCAGGTTTTGAATAAAGACCCATAAATGAATTGGTTTACTTAAAATATTGAAAATGTAAACCACTAAACCACTTAAGAACTAAATCATATTACTGTTATAAAAAAAGAGGAAGTACTGGTACTTGTATTAGGTCTTCAGAATTTATAGAGATAAGTTAGAGGAGAGAAGGGGTCTGTTTTATTAGTTTCCTTGTCGAGGGGTCACATGTGACTTGCTATTATGCTAATAGATTTTGTAATTAACCTCGTGGTATGTGTGGAAGCAATGTGTTTCACCTGTGAAGAATTTTAATGGTGTATATTCCACATTCTTAATTCCAGTCTGCCTTTCTGTTTGGCTCTTGGTCTCCAGGTTTTATATGCATGATTTTTGTTTTTTGCAGGATGAAGCAGGTTTTAGTACTGTATGTTGCATGTAATCTGTCAAAATATCGAGAGCAGCTTCTGAAATGATCACTTTAATCCTCATTTTAATATTTTGACAAGTATGAAAGCACAGGTTATTTAAATGTACATTATAGAACAAAAAATTGACTAAATTTGGTAGGAAAATGTAAAAAATGGGATGGTTTAGTTGATTTGCTTTATTTTTCAACTTTTTAAGTTGTGGAACCTTTTTTTAAGTTACGGGTGTGATTCTATAAATAGGACTGACACGGCCTGACACTTTTAGGGGTATTGAAGGGTCATCTAAGGTCAGTCAATATTTGAGCTGATTGTCTTCTGCTAGGACACAATGAAGAGCAAACAGTCTAATCCAGCACTTATCACTGTGTACTTTCTCCATTTCTCCATACACCGACAGATGTATGCTAAGTGACAAATGGAACACATCTACATAATGCTCAGACCTCTAAAAGGAGAAGCGATTTCTATCTACAAAGTCTACACACCTGTGCTCAGGTGAAAGACTAACTCAGATAAGTTTTGACATAGGTAAAAAATACAATGAATGCTCTGTGCAAGGTCCTGATGGCTCTACCATTAATTTGCCATTTGGGACTCTTATTTTAGAAAAGTAGTGTAATTTTTTTCATGTTAAATGCTTTTCATGCTTAAAGCGGAGAGGGGAACTTTGACACCCATGTTAACAACCTGCAGACGTGAAAACAGGGAACAGTTGGATGATTCGAGCCGACTTGAGGGGATAATTTGGGGTCGCTAGGTGGATGCCTGCCACGAAGTGCAAAGGATGTCACCCAATTTGTTTCATCTTTTTTTGTAACTAGAGCCCTATTTTACAGTAATTTGTACCTGCCTGTTATTGTACTCAATCACGAAACAAATCATAAAAAACCTCCACATTTGATCCAGCACATTTTTTTAACAAAAGGTTCATCTTGGTTTATATATATATGGATATCATTAACGCATCTGCATGAACTTTTCATAAAAATCTGTGCATTAACCGTTTTTTTTAAATATGAGAATACATACCAATGCAAATAATGTAGCAAAAGATTGTTTCAGTGAAATATAAGGCAAACTGAGGACAGACAAATTCCTACCGGTAATGTTTTCATCCTTTTTAGTATAATACTGGTATTTATTTATGGTTGTTTGACCTTTCTAATTTCTAAATAAGATGGATTAGTTATAGATTGTGCTTTATGCATGACATTAAAAGAAACATTTTTATCCATTTCCCAGATTTGTAGTCAAAGGTGATAGCTAAGGAAGTCTTCAGAAATTTAAATCTTGCCTCGATAATTAAGAAAAAATTTTATGATATATATGTATATGCTCTTTTGTTTTTTTAAAACACACAAGTCATGAATAATTCTACTTTCCCAAGACAGACTTCAAGATGTACCAAGTTAGGAAATGAAAAAAAACATTTAACAGACATGACCATTATTCATTTTTATGACAATGCAATCCATAAATAGAAAGTTCAGAACGGTGATTTTCCCACTATTAACAGGCATTGCATAATACGCTGATGTGGGCTTTTTAGCCAACGTAAGCAATAATGTTACATGTGTGATTTGACGATTTTTATTTTACCTTTGCGACCACATGATTCACCTATGGTTGTGTTTGCAATCAACGCAATGATGATAAATGTGTGTTCTGGTTATCTGATCATTTTATTGATAACTGCGCCTTGTTTTTATGAGAAAAGCAAAACATACAGAAGACATTTTTAGTTGTCATTTATAGTAACATGGACTGTAAATATGAGACAATCAAATGTTTATTTGGGAACACCTCTGAATATAATCGAAATGTTCCTTAAAATTGGCAAGATACATTCATTTAAGTCAAGTGCTGTGTGCAGTATAAGCGTTTTGATATGGTATAAATGTGTACCATATTTCAATAGATGTAATTATTCAGAATTTCAGATTACCGTTAAATCTTTTTGAAGTGAAATTCCTAATTATAAACAATTAAAATATCCCCAAATCAATCAACTTTAATGCCAAAAGCCATCAAACATTTTTTTACCTTTAAAAATTCTCTTAAATTGAAAAAATCGTGAGTTTGGGGAATGTTGGGACATTTTTGTTCTTTTAATTAGAGCTCTAAAACATGAAGATAAATCTACTTTTTTCAGTGTTGATGAAAAATAGTATCAATTTTCATGGATAAGCATGATGGATTTTTGATGATTATAATTGTTTGCATTAGATAATCACCTGGTTATAAGGCGAGCATAATCCCTCATGTCTGAGGTAGACTAGTGCTGTGACAGTGAGTCACTCGTACAATGCCAAGATTGATGTCCCTGTATATCTGTACAGATTAGACAATTACATCATATGGGGACAACTAAATATAGTGTATACAGAGAAAAAAAAATTATCAAAAATTGTTTATATATTCATATTTACTCTCTTAATACCTTAAAGCGATCCCTATCGTCAAAAAATTAGTTGAGGGGAACTGCGGTGAAATGCTGGGTTACATAGTTGTATGATAATTTGTTCTGAAGTAATCGCCTGTTTGACTGTGATAAAAAACCATAGAAATAGCCCTGTGATCCGTCAGGGAAAACTTTTTCATTCATCTTTATTTCAGCTTGAGTATTCAAGGTTTAGATTAAATGTCTTATTTAAATATTCACACTGTGCCTTGAGTCTCATATTTCAATGGAAAAGTGTTTTGCCTTCTTCTAAACCTTTGACTGAAGTAGGCTCTATTTACACAAGAAAATTTAGGGAGAAATAAATCGGTCAGAATAACATATTACTTCATGTATTAAAGCATTCAGATATGCCTTTCTATATACCCTTTTCTCTTTGTTACAGGATGATTTCGATTCCCTACGCCCGCTGTGCTACCCAGGGACAGATGTATTTCTCCTGTGCTTCAGTGTTGTGACTCCCACGTCTTTCCACAATGTGGCAGAGAAATGGGTACCAGAAATTCGCAAACATTGTCCCAAAGCCCCCATAGTTCTAGTCGGCACCCAGTGTGATCTGCGAAATGACGTGAAAGTGTTGATCGAACTCGCTCACTATAAAGAAGAGCCTGTGCCCGTGGAAGAGGCACAGAGAATGGCCGATAACATTGGGGCAACGTATATAGAATGCTCCGCTCTCACCCAGAAAAACTTGAAGGAAGTGTTTGACACTGCTCTTCTCTGTGCTCTCAAATTAACTGACTCTTTAAAAAGAAACAAACCAGCTCGCCAATCCAAAAAAGGTTCAAAGAAAACAGAAACCTTTACACCAAAGAGAACAGAGGGTGGTCCACAGCACAAGAAAGGAGGATGGAAGAAATTTTGCTGCTTTCTATGACCCAGGTTTCCTCCATCCGAAATCATCCAGTCACAGCTCAGTTCACTGAAATTTCATCCAACCCAATCATCTTTCAGAATACATAAAAGTTTCATCCAATCACTGCTCATTATCATATACCTTGCATCCAAGTTCCCCAGAATCTACATCGAAGCATACTTTTATTTTTCATATAGCTCAAAAGCAGTTAGTTGAATGCCCTTAATTAAGATTATTGAATTGTACAATGATTAAATGATTGTAAATTCTAATACAATAATATTTTTGTTTTTTTTTTATAACCAATATTTTAGAATGAAAAAGAAGTTGTTTCCCTGGAGATTTTAATTTGAGATTTCAAAACAAAAATCTGTATTTATACATATCAGTGTTTGATAGATTAGAGATATGTCAATCATTTATCCATTTAATTTATTTTGTGAATAAGTTTTTTTAATGCCTGACTTGAGGGAATGAGTATTTTCAAATGCAGAGGATTAATGTCTGTGATGAAAGGATTAGAGATTATTGTGTATTCATGCATAGATTTCAATGTGCAATTTAAAGTGAACACTAGTTCCAAAGAGCTTCTCATGGGAATACTTTGTTTGCTTTCATTTTAATTTTTTTTGCACTGCTTTAAAGAAAAGAAATGTCACCGCAGGCCTAAAACAGAGAAAAAATGTGGGTCACCTTAGAAATCATTATTCAATATGCTAGGTCACAAAACAATACCATCAGCTGCTTTGTACGACTTCAAACCTGCCCCCCTTTTAGATAATACGGTCATGAGAACGTGATATCCGCATTATGTGAAGCTTCAAGCATTTTATAAACTAGGAAAGAAATCGTGGGAAAGGGTTTTTAGTTTTTTTGGGTGCTTTTTTGTGTTTTTCTTTATTTTTGAAAAATATATTTTGTTTTCATCACAAGGAAGATAAAAAAAACATGACGCTTCAATGGGATAACATTGTTTGGTCATGGCCAAGCAAACAATTGGAACATAGTGGTGGATATCATTTCAAATCTAGAGGTTTTTTTTACCCAGAAGTGTAAATTGTTGGATTTGAGATAGTATTGTGAAAACTTCCCACTCCCAGATTCAAGATAATGACTGATTTTTTTTTAAACTGACAGATTTTCATCAAAAAAGTAGTTCAATGAACATTTTCGTACAATATGCATAATTAAAGAACAGTCATATATTTATGTCTGTTAGAAAAGATCATCTCTGCCCCTTTAGGAAGAATAATAAATAAGATCTCATGATCAAAGTAGAGATCTTTGCAGATAGAGCAATGATATGTTATGAAATTCTTCGGTCTAACTTGATCAGTTTCATTGTACTGGGTACCTGACTTTGAGACTCTAGTTCTTCATGTGATGAGATGTACTCTTCAGAATAATTTTATCTGATCTTTACTAGTCATAACCCCTCTTTGGTATTCATATATACTGCCTTGGATAGAAATCTTATATCTGTAGGACGTTGTCAGATTTTTGACATAGCTTGATAAAAAAAAAAGCCTTTTTTTTTGAAGGGTGAAGGTGCTCAGAATTAATGTGTAATTCATTATAATTAATGACAACTGGGAAAATTTCCATGGCAAATTCTGTTTGGAAACAAGTAAACTTGTCCTGTTTTTTCGTCTGACAATGAGAATTCCAATTCACTTGTGTTTATGTTGAGTCAAGATACGAAAACAAGATTTATTGTATAACGTACATGTTCTCTTTATCTGCATTGTGGGATGTCAGTGTTTTTTGTTCAGGTCACTTGATGATTATGATAGATTGGTGCTCTATCTTTGTCAACGGGAGACCAACACATGGTAGAATTTGCCACTAGATCCCTGTTTTTATGTACATCGTGGTTCTCTGTTTATATGTGGTGGCGATACCTGTGGCTCTGTTTGTATGCGGTCAGACACCCATCTTTAATCATGAGAATTCTCGGAGAGATATTGCATGTTTGATACTAATCTTTTACATTCATCAGACCAAAGCATTATTTCATTCCCTTTTGTTATATTTCTTATTTGTCTGTTGGGTTTTCTGGTTTTAATCTCTCTCTTTTTTACCTGGGTATGTTCCACAGAAAGAAATATTTTATTTTTTTTTGAAAATATTGCCTTTAAGGTGACAAGAGCACCATTGAAATTCTTTTTGTATTGTGAAGATCATTTCTACTGTAAAAAATTTGTCTTCAATGTTAGATCAGGAGGAAAATTGTAGGGGGAGATAACGAAAGCCAAAACGGCCTTGGAACATTATTTTATTGTTATACTTTTTTGTTGAGGACCATAAGGTCCTGTTGTTGTTACATAATGGAAAGGAAATGCTGTCTTTCATTCTCTCGTTTGTTCAATTTTTACTCCTCAGTTTATGAACAATGTCTCTTGTTTTGTAATACATTTGTGTTTTATGATGAGAGAGAAACGATAAGGCACTTTGTGTATTCTTTCAAGAGAAACATTTTTAGCAATAGAACAAGCCGGGAGAAAAATGTACAAACAATGAGTGTTTTAATAATAAAAAATATGTAATTATTCATCATTATTTGTTGCTTTTTTTTGTTCTTGTTATATCCAGCTCAAGATGGCTTGGTATGATGTCAAATTACTAATGACATTTACAAGATCCTGTCCTTTGTACCATATGCCAGAAATGCGAGTTATTTTGGCCAAGAGAAGGAGAGAAAAACAGCAACTATAGCAGATATTGTCTGGATTCCTACACATTGCGTATTGTTTCTGGCAGATGTTTAGCATAAGAAATTTCCTGACAATAAACATGCAGTTGACTCCAGTTATGCATGTCTAAAAATATATCTCATTTCTGTCCCTTTTCTGTTGCAAATGCATAGATAAGTTGTTTTTTATTTATATACATGTACATGCATTTTAATCAAAGACAAAGTCACTAAAACCAAACATCAAGCATTATTAAAGAAAGAGTGCTGATATGAATATTGCTACCGTTTTCTAAAACACATTCACATTTAATTGTGATTTCTGTACTTTAATTTTGCGGAATGACTATTTTGCAAACTACTGGATAACATCTTCAGTTTCAGTTCAGAGAGATACACTGTAGTAAGTCCACAATGAGATGATAACTAGCTTTATAAATACACCATCAGTAATCTGGTATACTTCATCTCAGCTAGATCAACTGCTGAAGCGAACTTAGACATTGATCAGCAAATGTCTATGGTATTATGGATATTTCTCATCAACGTTGATATTGGATGGGAATCTAAAAGGTTTCGGGATATGTACTGCCATTGTTGTGACTTCGGCTTCGATTTTTGAGAAGCTGCTTTCAGGTTAACCATTAGAGCTGGCATAGGTTTAAATGATGAAAGCAAATAGAATCCGGATACTTGACAAAGATTTGTAGACTACTACTGTATCTTCTTACATGACTCCATTTTATTTAATAGGGATTGATAATATTCAAATACCACTCAAATAGGTCATTTTGAAAGGAATATACAAACCATTTTAAAACTTTTATTAATTTCATTTATAATATTCTTTTGATTACTTGTAGCAAAAGCATTGTATACTTTTATAAAATGCTTAGCAGTACATGTAAGGGGGCGGGGATACCCGCCACCTCGAAAATTGTCGAAGTTGTGTAAACCATAGTTTCGTGGAGCCCTCACCAAACCGGGTCCAAAGGACAATATCATTTTAATGATACATGTAGAACGTTTTTGTCCAGACTGCAACTTGATCCAAATATTAAATGTGTTTCCTATAAAATCAAATTTCGAGTCATCTAGGGGGAAAAAAACCCTTTTCGTTCTCCTGGAGGTTTTTGCTAATGAAAATCCTTTCGTAAATCAAATATTTTCGTTATTTGGTTATAGAGCGTTTATCTTCGTTCTAGACATTTAAAGGTGGTCTGTTACCAAGAGGGGGGATACAAAATAACGTGGGGATACAAAATAACGTGTAAGTTAGCAAAATTAGTTTTACTGTAAGAGAATTGAATCCTTTCAAAAACTAAATCCCCGAAGTTAAACCGATGCACTATAACACATAAAATTTTATATATCGTCATTTTTCTATAAAAATTGAACAATAATTGAATATAGAATAGATTCATGTGAGGCTCTAAAGTGATGATTTTAAAAATGTTTTTTGCGAGGTAATACTCAGCTTTTACAGTGCCCTTGTTGTTATTCGAGGATTTTGATCAAGTAAATATTCAATGCTGGCGCAGAATGTCTGCATGCAACATCGATCCATGCAATTTTGGCCAAGTTTTATTGTGGTATGATTCTCAAGAACTATCGCTATAAAAATGAAATCTTCTTGTTACTTCGTATGCAATTATGCGTCTTCTATATTTATATGCGATTTTTAAATGAAAAATATAACCACCTTAACCCCCACCCTCACCCACAGCCCAAACAAGACTATGGTAAAAATATAAACGCTTCAAGTACGACAAATTTTGATTCCCCCCTCCCCCTTCTCCCGAAATGTGACTATATAACATATTCCGTTATTTCTATTTTCATTAACATATCTACGTCTTGCTTTGGGTCCAAATATCAAGACAAAATGGCAAAATGTAAGCTTATGAACGATTAAATATGTATTTAATTTGTCTAAGGCATATAGTGGGGGGTAACTGCATGGGTAGTTAAGTTGACTCTATTAACTAGTTTATTGGTGAAACGCAAAAAATGAACGACATAAACAATCATTTGTAATGTACCAATATATTTTTTTGTCAAAGGATCTCGAGTGTATTTTTTTTTCCACTTTTCAAAATTCGATCACCTCTTTAAATTCAATCGTTAAATCAATTTACAATGCTCAAGTAAAAACATTAACAGTTACACTACATTAATTATGCACTAAGGATGTAGCGACTTGGTGAATATACATCTGGGTAATGATTCAAAATACCTCAAAGGCATAACTAATACTTAATCAGTGAGCACACACCTTAGCGATAAGAAATGTTAATAAACTTTAAAGTTAATGTTATTGACACAGTTTTTTATTTTGATCATTTGGTTAACCGAATTAATAAATTGTAACGTAAAAAATATCAATTTGCCATAAATATAAGAATTACGTTGTTGGTAAAATATAATTTATATAATCTCTCTCTCTCTCTCTTTTTGGTTGTTGTTGCCGGGTGGGGAGGGGTGTAAATTCAACTTCTCCAAATTTTAGAATTCAAACAAAATTAGCAAAAAAATAACAAATTGAAAAAAACATATTTCAAATAAGAATTCCAACGTATATTAATTTTGTATCGTCGAAAAAATGACGAAATTAAATTCACTTGGGGAAATGTTATTGGAATGTTTTTGGATGTTTTTCATCTTTTTAAGTTGTGGGACCAATATGATTCTGTAAATAAGAATGACAAGGACTGATACTTTTAGGGTTTTTTAAAGGGTCATCTGAGGTCATTTAGCTGATCGTCTTCTGCAAGGACACAAAGGAGACAATTTTAGTGACATGAATGAATTTTGGGGTGTATTTGATCAAAGGAAATGTACGTAAAATCTTTAATAATGCATAGAATAATCTTTTTACATTAGTTTCCTCAATATTTAGGTCGACACTGGGAACTGGTCATCGATGAAAGATGATCAGCAATTTTCAGATAACCCTCTGATACCCGCACCCCATCCCCTCCTGACCAATGTCGACATTCGAGTCACAATCATTTTAAACAGAATGTCGATTGATTTAACCACTGTAGTCTGCGTCTAAAGATCGAGCTTTCGTTCAAGGGTCAAGAGCTTCCAAAACTTGTTTGTTTTCTTTGATAAAAACTGAGATGAAATTCATAAGTAAACGAGTCTGCTGTGCGCTTGAAATAACTGTGAGAAGATCAGCGGAACGAGTAAATATCTTTTTAACGAGGCATCCATCAAAGGGATGTTATCGTTGTTTAAAATGGACAATCGTGTCAAAATAAAGCTCCAGATTTTTCAGATAGTGTACACTTCTATATCTCAGAATTTTTAAAAGAAAGAAAAGGATAACAGAAAAGTACACAATGCTCAAGGTCATTGTTTAGAAAAAAAAGTATTTATAGATATTAAAATTAACACTCTTATATTTCCGTAGTTAACGATCTCTATATAAATGAGAAGAGGATTACACAATTCACTTATTTACATAGTAATTATATATATTACCGATCGTCTCTTGCCTATGTAGAGTTGTAGACGTTTTCATGCTTTGAAATGCCATATAATGCAATTCTTGATAACCATTTGCAATGAGAGATGAATCAAGTACAAGATATATAAACATTGGATTTGGGAATATAAAGCGAGAGGAATTTTTGCAAGTCATTTATGTTTGATGTTTTTGAAATAGATACCAAGAGAATAGTTTAATGTACAGTCATGATCACTTCGTTATGTAATTATCATAAGACGAATATCACAGCTTGTTCTATAAGGCCATTGGAAACGAATTCTTCGTTTTAATCCATCACCTCGGGCCTTTCACAGAAAAACTTTCTGTGGAAGGCCCGAGATATCCCGGATGCGTTTTAATCTGCGCATCTTCAATTGTTATACCCTTATAAATAGCTTTCTATATATATTTATTAATAATAAAAGTCCAACAAAAGAAATGCGGTCTATTACATCGGTCTAACAATTTCACTGTTGACTGGCCTGCCGGTCCAACATAAGAATTGTTAGACCGCAACGTCACTTCTACGTCACAAGTTATTAATTATCGTTCAATATCGGCGACAAGGAAATAGCCGAAGATAAGAGCTGTAAGAGTTGTTGCTACCAGCAAGGTAAGGAAGAAGGGTAGAGTATGTTTTGTGATAAATAATTTTTGTGATATAATAAGAATATAATTAAATTTCTTCTTTCTCAACTATTGTTTTATATTTACTGATTAAGCCACAATTTTCCATTGATAAATGATAATACAGTGTGTATTGATTAAATCTTAAGTGAGCACTAAGGCCCCGGGCAATATTTTCACCTTCAGGTCCAACAAATCATATGTTGCCCTCATACTAGGGCTGGGACGATACAACTTTTTCTATATCGATACGTATCACGATATTTGAGCCATGATACGATATTATCACGATATGTTTGATTGCTTATAAATTCTTTTTTTGCATTGAAATAAACAAATTATTTCTTTGCAAATGAGAATAATTTGTTCAGAATAGTTGTTTATATGTTATAAAACAAAAATATTTTACTCAAGTGGTGTTAATTATTATTACTATATTTATATTTAACTTATTTATTTCATATATTAAACGCCAAATGTTAAAAAAACAAAGAAAAACAGAAGTCAGATTTTTTGGGCGATATTTCGATATTTTTTCAAATGTATCGATATGTGTATCGTCCTCACATATATCACGATATATCGATATCTCGATATATCGTCCCAGCCCTACCTCATACCCAGTCAATAACTGTATAATACTGATATCGCCATTACTTTACTTAGCAGAATTCTTTCATGTTGGAGGTAGGAAATGTCTGTTGGATGGGGGCAAAATGTGCTATTGAATACAGTGCAAGA